ATTTTCATCCAAATAACAAGCGCAAATAACGATTTCTCCTGACTTTTTCTAAACTCTCATTTGGATAATGACAGCCCAACTGCTGGTTAATATCCGTTCCTAACAGGGTGCCGGTATGGAGACTGTCGCTGATGCGTGACTTTCCTGTATATTCTACATGTGAATATTACATTCAAACTAACGAGATTTTATAGGTTCTTAATTGTCCTAATTTACAGCATTTGTTGCGAGATGTTGTTCAAAGCAATGATGACTTATTCTGACTTACCTAACATTGATGGATACGCCTTTGTGCAACAAGGTCGGTTTTAACCATGGAAATGTTTCTATCTATGATTAAGCTGTTCCCAATATGTTAAGGGCAACCAGACAGCAATCTAAAAAGGTGCTCTCGTATTAGCACTGAATTCACTTGACTGAGGTGAAAGTTAAAGGGGCGTGCGTAGTGTAGAATAACAGTGGTGGGAATAAGGTGGATGACGAGAGTGACAAACAGTTTGACCACAAATGTTTTGGCTACTGAACGGTTCTGTGCAGTCGTAAACCAAGAAGATACACCGAGTATTGGGATGAGTTTTGCAAGACATTTGACAAAAGTTAAAGCGACTGTGGTCTGAGCACTTGAAAGACCTACTTTCTATCCATAACCAGTCCACAGGTACACAGACCTGCAGTAACATCCTATGCTGAGATATGGAAAGTGGACAACTCCCATTGCCAAACTAACCTAAATGGTCTCGTTCATGACGGGATCAGCTTTGGCTCATCCGTTAAAACTGTATGCACTCCAAGCTGACTTAATCGCCCCTTGCATCGCACTGGATTTGATGTAACCATAATAATTCTAGAGGAAAACTTACCTTTTATGACAGATACATTGACGTGCCCCACTACTGGTGTACCATTTGTCCATTCGTAATCAATTACAACGATTTTAATGACTGAACGTTGCAGCAATTCATTGATGTAGACAGAACGGATCCAGTTACAACTAATTAGCCTAAAATATAAACTAGTGAACTGCGAATTGCAAACATCAGTAGGGTTTAGTTTCTCACAAGAATATAATAGGATAATCCGGAAAACTGATTATTCCGTTGAGTAAACCGAACGCTCAACAACCATCTATGATACTACCATAGATGGTAAGCTTCATTCTACTGGATTATTTAATGACAACTGCTAGATAGCACAAAAATGGTATCACGACATCCATATCAGCTGCAGGGTTTGGAGACACTAAAATAATATATGCGAAACGTTCTTCAGCAAGCCACAAATCAAATATGTGCTCCTTTCATGGATGTTGTCAGACAATTTTTAGTTACAGGTTCAAGATTTTTCCGTTGTTGCGTTGTTTCTAGAGCAGTATATCATCCGCTACTTAAATGTTTTTTCCTCTGAATGGTTATACTTCTTAGTTTCTAACCCATTTTTATGGTCAACCAATATCTCACAAACCCCACATGCTTGCTTTAATTTGGCTACGAAGTATTTATCCTAATACTATTGGGCCAATCTTTCAACCTGTACAAAATGCATTAACCATAGCCTTTTCAAAAGGCACCCACCACCGTTTGCTCCAACTTGAGCATAATGATATTTCGCAGTCAACGGATTAGCTGACTCTTGGAGACTCATCCAGGTTGGATTGCTTCACATGTGCTTACTCTTAAGGATCCCTTTTTGCTACTTGTCGAGAATATCAAATTTTACTTCGGAAGCATAAGCGAATCGACGGAGATATTTCCCCGATGGAACCTGAGAGGTTAGCCAAAACATTTTATTCAACGACTACCTGTAAACAGAAGAGATTTAGACGGCATTTTTACTCTCAGCAAGAGTTGCCAAACATTTTCCCATATTTTTAACGACACCAGGAGTTACCTTTAATTGTAGGTTTGAAATGGGAGGCAAAATTTACTTTTTGGACACCTTGATCCCTCGGTTCACCTGCACGAATGAATGGCATCTAGAACTTACGGGCTTTTGTCTCGTGCAGCACACAAACACGCCTTTGTCCCTGGACAAAGATTAATCCAGGCAACTTGTTGAGTAGATCAAAATATTTATGACAGTGTTGCGATTTTGGTGGAAAACACTTCAGTTTGACTGCCAAAAAAACCTCAAATCACAGCGCCAGTGAAATTTCCTATTCTTAGGTTTCCTACACTAGTGGCAGGTATTTATTCAACTTAGGCAAACAGAAATGGCGCAGAACCGAACACTAATTCACACAAGATGGCTATAATGATATTGACTACCAAAACGACCCTGATAGTTCCAGCAAGAAGTCACTGTTTCCGACCATTCTGTCGCAGTTGCGATGATACATAAATTAGTTGAATTGGCCCAAGGCCCAGAACAATCTTGGCTGATCTTAAATTGATTTCCAGCGAGCCAAAATGCCAGGCTTAAGCTTTGCCCTGTATTTAAGTTCATGACACGAGATGGTCAAAAAAAGTTCTTTAATCTCCTGAAGCAGTATTGATTGAAAGATTTAAGCCTGTCCTACACACTCAGACAAACTTGGGAGTCACTTTGCGTTCATTATAGTTTTATTGTTTAGCCACGTTACTTTTAGCTCCATACAGACGATGCCTATATCGTTATGGTTCACAGCATTTTACTTCCTTTTACGTGTGCTGCTACGGATGGGAAACATCCAATTAAAATTGCCTCAATACAGTGCTTTTCTCATGATCTTGTTGAAAAAACAAGGTTCTCAATGAAGATAACCTCACAAACAGTGATTTTTCGCGTTCATAAAAAATATGAAGCTGTCGTATCTACAAAAATTACAGTTTAATTGCCACACCAGCCAGATTATATAAATCTTTAAACAGATGAGGAACGACTCTCACAGGTGCTCAGAACTTATGAAAATGAAGCTGAATAAGTGCGTACATCTATACGCCAAAACATCCGATAAAGTGCGCATGAACATATCCATGTTTGAGAGGAAAACCACCTAGTTTTTGTTTTGGTAGGGTTTTGATGTGTCCAGTATTTCTGTCGAAAGATACCCCCTCGTGCTTGCGGTGAAGAGGCCAACATGTTTTGGCAATGATGAAAGCATTTACTGCCCTTGAGCTTGTTCCCAATATCTTGGAAAGAGAAGCGACACTTATCAGGCTATTTTTATGAAGATAGCATTGAAACTTAAAATTTAAATCGATTAAATTTAAGCATCAGCTGGAAAATGTCTTGAGAAAAAGAATAAAATAAAATTAAGACAGCTTACTTTATTTTATGAACTCATCACTAGATAATCCTCAAGACTGAGTTAAGTCGAATAGGATTCTAAGACATTCAGCTCCTAATCATTACTCTGACTGAGGTCTTTAAAACTAAAAAATGGCTATTCTGGACTCCTCCGTTGTGCGGCTATTTCCAGCATAGACGTTATTTCCCTTGCACCAAGCTGACGCCTGGCTGAACACTCCAAGTTGAGGTATTTACAAAGTGAGTAACAGCGAAAAAGCTAGATGGGCTAAATAACGATTGACAGCAGTTTAATTTTTCAGGCCTTGATTAAATAAACATTTGGGTTCAGAGTTGGAAATGTCCAAAAATCAAACCCAACCCGTCTGTGTAGGCGGTCTTTCGAGAATTTATATTAAATTTCGATTTTTTTTTCTCTGCGAAGATCGCTTGTAGCGATTTTCTTTGAGGACTGCTTTGAGTAACGTCCTGTTGGAGGACACAAGCTTATCTAGATGTTGGTAGAATAACCTTGGGGCACCAGGCATCACAATAGGTGAGGTACGCATCCGTGAAGGGGGTATTCAAAAGTTCAGGTTAATGATGAGAATGCTGTCTCAAGTTCAGCTTCTAACCAGTGCTTGGTGAAATTGCAGCCGACGTTCTCCTCTGGGGTAACTGGGTTACTCAAATATCGGCGGAGTGTGAAAATTTCAGGGATCAGATACAGCAATCTTACAGTGAATAAATATAAGCGAAGGTGGTATAAAACCGCAATTTGGTTGTTATTGGAGCCAAAAGTGCTCGGTTCAAACTTTAATTTTTTTCCATCTCGAGTGCGACACATGTGAGAAATAATAGTAAACTCCAACCCATTTCGGAAAAAGCTCTGAAGCGTGACGAAAGCTTTGAGATATAGAGCTACATTTCAGAGATGAGTGAGGTATGATATTTCAGTAGATGCTGGAACATCTATTATTTGTAGCGGTTGAAGAACTCATATGCATTAAAGTATATCGCTGTAAGATAGCAGCAGCAGATATGGCTGATTGAAGAGATTAATGTCAAACATTCCGTACGGTGATCTGATCCTTTCAGAAAACGTTCGGAACTGATCAAAAGACCTCGTTTTCTGAAGTTTAGAAGCTTTCGTTTCAAAAGCCAAACGTTGTTCAGAAATAAATGTACCGATTAATATCCAGCCTTTTCAGCCCTGTTTCCATTTTTCCTAGGTTAAGTGACAATATACATACAAACAAAAGCCTCAGATGTTGATGGTTTTTATTGGCTGAAGATAGAAATTATATAAAGCGGAAATCTTGCACTGAGAATCATCTAGAAAAAAGATTGCTTGTGGATGTAAGGGTTGGAACCATAATTACCAAATAATGTCTCATGAATTCTTAAGTAAAAGGCAACGACTAGGAACAAATCATTTTGTTGTGCCGTACTTAACAAGAAAGAACTAATTCTGGAAGCACTGTGTTGATATTTTTGCCTTAACATCGCACGCCTAGAAGTCAGCGTTCTCGTCACTTTCAGCTGTCAAAGCTGTAACTGTAGATTGAGCAGAAAATCAAAATCAAATCAAAAATCAAAAAAATTAACTGCGAATTTCATTTTCCAGCTTTGCTTATTGTTATAATCAGACGAATAGTTGGTAGCTTATCGAGAATCTGATAAATATTCAACATTTTCCCGGAGTGCAATCATCAAATCTTCAGTTATTCGAAGATATTCTTCCGTAAATGCGCATTATGTTCAGCGTGCTACATATAGTATTCTTTGTGTTTTAGCATATACCATCTACCTATGAAGTAAAGGATCACCAAATGATTGAGAACACTTCACGCAGCTGACACATATCAAGTCGTTGTTATAGCGGAAAGATGCTGAGTGACATGCTGCCAACAATTACGGAAGATATCGGAGTTCGTGTAAGTCAGAATGCCATGGTATGTCTTTCCTTTATCATGCAATGAGACGGAAGATATATATGAGTTATAAACGGTCCTTACTTTTTGAATAATCCCAAGGACTCCTTTTACTGCCGCTCGTCAAATGTCAGAACAGAGAAAGTTCGCATTGCTAGATGGAGACAGCACACCAGAAAACAGTGTAAAATTGCAATCGTTTTGAAGGCCGAGCCAATTTATCGTCCTACAGCATTAATACCACCAGACAGCTGTACACAGGAGGCATTCTGCGGAGTGAGATATGAGGCCGTGACGAATCCCTTTAAGCTGAACAAGAGCTGAAGATGAGCAGCAAAATGAGACCATCTGTAAGTATCCAGTTGGCCAGTGCCTTGTAAGCGCAGTGAATTCCAGTATTAGACATTCGTTTGCCACAAGCACCCTTCAGCTCTATCAATTTTCGGCGTAAACCTGCATGTTAAGCTTCCGAAGCCGTAGAATTAACTTGCAGTCTCTAAGTTGGCAGAGAGCTAACAGAATGCAAGATGAAGTGGAATTTGTTTAGCTTTTAGCTATTTTAGCTATTTAGCACTCATACGGCTACCACTATTGCAATCCGTAGGATGGCAATGATGTCTGGTACTTAAGGATTATCGGAAGGAACAAACTTACCTGTGTCCACTTACTTACATCTGGTGAGAAGACGGTGAGTACCTGGCGTCGTACGGCTTATTCTTCTAAGACATGAGGGTTAGGTTATATATATATCCCTGAGATACGTCGCGTCCAATTAATATCTCACGAATACGTAGATAGTCACTCTAGAAACCTGTCTCCTCAGCGCACGATGAAAGGACGGAAATTTCTGACAGTTAATTATTACGATAGAAATATTATTTCAAGGGCTTTGAACACACGAACAAAAAGTGAAAGAAACTGATGTAGTATTGTGACTCAAGTCTGATAGATAGATAAAGGTCCCAGCAGTTCCCGGGAAGACAAAATATTCCCAGTGATAAACACACGACCGATAAAACCCTAGTCGTTGTTAACTAACTGGATCCTCTTATCTACGACCGATAAAACCCTAGTCAGTGCTTAAAAACTGGAATCCTCTTATCTCTGTCTCTATGAAAGAACCACTGAATTAGTTTAGGTAAGCAAGCTGGTTGATAACCGAGGGTGTCAACTCACAGGAAGACAAAAAAGATAATAATGCTCGCAATGTAATGTGGTACACAAAGAGCACAATATCCAAAGAATTCAATACTCTGATACAAAGCAGTAGTCGGCCTCAGAATATTTTCAATCCAACGGCCTGCAATAAATTAGAACCTAATATTATGAACTAATACTGACGTTGCGAAAACGAGGTTGCGTTATGTCACACGGACACAATAGCTCATTAGGAGATCCGAACAGTTAGAATCATAAAATATGTACTCCAAATGAAAATTATCCTATCGAATCACTGAATTGGGTGGGTTTTATGGTGCAAATTTGGACGACAGGTGGACCGGTGATACTGTATTCTGAGTGAGAGCAAACTGAATGTTCAGCTAGCTGAACAAGTGATAACGAACAATAGAATGTTCGATCACTGTGCGTAGAATTTGGAGTACGCGTGCTCTCGCGATTTCCCTAAGGGGTAATAATAATAACTAGTAGTAAGTTTGGGAAGTTGCTAAAAATTTTACAGGTTTTCTATCTCATAGATAATTTGCTCCCCGAAATGATTGCATAATCAGTATATTATAATCTATCGTTACGTAAAAAGATTGGTTGTTATTAATAAATAATTGTTTCATAAACAGCTGACGCATGTGCCTTTTTATTGTCTCGACACAACCATATCAAAGACAACAGGGGCCAGGTCCAACAACCATCCCTTTTAGACTTCATCAGAGGTGCAATTTCTATCCCTGTCGGGATATGGACCGTAGATATTTAGCGTACTACACGAGTGGGTTACCACTATTTCACCAGCCCAATAGACAGGACTGAATTATGATGTTTAAACCGGTGGCCTTGGTAACATTTGATTGATTGGTTTGTCCAGCACTGCGACCTGTTCTGAAATCTTCAGTCGACTGACCCATCTTCCAAGAATTCACAAGTGGGTCGCGCCGAAAACTGATACGAACTGTCGAGAAAAGTATGATATCAAAGGAGATACTACAAATTCCGCAACCAACCACGCCTGGGAGAATTCAGCTCCAGAACTTGCCCACAAACTCGCGGTTCGTGACCACAGATGCAACTTACTTACGTAGCTCTCTACAAAAAGTTTCGTTCGAATGAAAAAAATGTAGAACTTGCGTGATGTGCAAAAATTCATAGACTGTCGTATTGATTGATCGTGCCGGTGACAGTTCATTTATCCAGTCACTTTTGTGAATTTCTTGAGAAAAAGAAAAGACATCAAGCAGGATAAATTAAACCAGAGTATCGTATTTTCTTCGCGCACTTTCTAAACCGCTGACAAAGCGGGATAACGATAGATTATACGATAGATTAACACATGTAGGTTCGTGAAAGCACCACAAGAGGAAAGTGTCATCAGACATTTGGGTCAGGTTGAATTTAAGTATTAGAGCAGCAGACCTGATTTATTGCGGATCTTGCCAAGACAAAGCGAGACTAAACAAAAAATACCAATTATTCACGGGAATAGGGTTTGCATTGTTGAATTTCCACCGATCTAGCTAAGTGTAATACGCAACCGCTAGTCTGGCAGCCATTAAATTTAACTAACTGTCATGCTCCATTCGTTCTTTATAATACACCAATCATGAAATTGCTGAAAATGTTTGAAAAGCCCGCTCCCGATTTTGCTCTCTTTGGGGTTCTGTAGCTCTGCGCAGGTTTGGAGTAATCATGTACTATGTTCTAAGTGAGCACCAGGTTGTAGGTAAATAACGAGCGCCACTCGTTTGCAAACCGCGTTAGTGTTAAAGTCACTTAAGTAAGTCTGTTCTTTTTGATATACTTAAAAAAACTCGCCTCAAACTTCAGTCGTACTGTATTCGGGATGACGAAATATTTTATTGGCGGAATACAGTTCTCCTAACTTCACTCACAGCCCAGTACCGGTTTTGTCCTTCTTGGATCTCATCAGACAGTTGCAATCCACGGGAGTTACATCAAATATAGAGGGTTGCTTCTGAATCTGTAAAGTTCCCCACAACGTCTGGCTTCCAACAAATTTTAAGTATCTGGTTACTTCATTAAGTAAAATGTGAGTAGAACGCAAGTTAGGGAGCAACATTTCCGAGGTCAAATATAGTAAGCGCTCCTTGTAATGTATTCTTTTCCATATTGCTTTCTGAATATTCATCTCTCCTGGTACATTTAACTGGATTACATCTAATAGAGAAGCATTAAACCCATTGCCTGTCCTAAGTGCTACTCTGAGTGCTACCATGCCATGCACCCCAACCACGTAGTCAGCACCCCACCAGCGCCTATTGGACGCACATGAACGTACAAACACGTTGACACCTGAATGGTGTATGTGGTCGCCCCGCTCAGTTGAACTGTAAATCAGTAGCCGTTTGTGTCGCGCCAACAAAACTGCTTGTCGTCACGTCCAAAGCTGCTTACTCTAGGGATTCTTCGAAATTCTTTGATTTATTCATTACCCGGGGGTCGTCGATATGCTTGTCATTCTGATTTCTACTCTCAATATAGAATTGTAAATCCTCGAATGTTTTTAATAAGAAACTCGTGAAAATTTGTAGTAATACAGTTTCATATACGATAGAGCAGAAGGTCAGATTTGTGCCCAGGCAAAATCTCAATGCGCTATTGCTTGTTTGACCATGCAGAGTGATCGCGAATCTACTTCCACGTGTGATGGAGCAAATGTGGAAGATATGCTCCTCAGTATGCTGGATGAACGTGATCGCTTGATGGAGGGTCTTCGGGAAGCACAAGAACAGCTGAATATCACACGTTCACGATTGGCTGAAGTGGAACGAGAAAGGGACAAAGTAAACAGCCAACTTGTTTCCGCAATACCGCAGGTGAGCAAAAACGTTTTCCTATGTTTCTGCACCAATATTCTTACTAGGCGTTCATTGTCGCAGCATTTTCGAACTTCGCATTAATGTCCTTCTTTTAAAAAGAGGTTCCCCTTTGATTTTATAAAAATATGGACCTGGGCAGTACATTCGAATTTTTTGCATGACTATCAGCTCAAGCTAAGGTTAAACGTCTGTTTAGAGGGGCTCAGGTCGTTTGCGTACCAGCCACCATAAATAGAACGCTCATTGAATTGGGTGTAAACCCATCCGTATTCAAAGCATAAATTTTGAAGACGGTAGGCATTTTAACCGCAGCAAAAACCCCTTAATGCATCTATTATGGATTGGCACCTGTCACGTGCCATAGATTTAAAATGACACAAATATACTTTGCTTGCGGCTTTTCAAACACTGGCGTCGAGGAAACTGTGGGGTACACCGGAACCAGCAACGCCTGGCTGTCAGTGCATAATAAATTTGAAAACCATGTTGGTCAACAATAAGCACCTCGCGAGGTTGATAGAATATAAAATATTGTGAGATTGAAAAAATTCTTGATAGTAACTATTCAAGGAAGTTTCAGCGTATCTTCATTTGGTTTTCTGAGAACGTAGATGACTCACTTATGCTAATTTATGGAACGCATGTAGCTCAATTTGTCCAATCTGGCATCGATCTTACTTTGTGTCCTGGACGATTTAGTTGTAAACATTTGATCAGCAATCAAAATAGCTAACAATCGTGCTCTCCTGTAGCAGAACAATGTCAGGAGTTACGTAGTTAACAAAAAACATTGGTAGATTCAAATGCACCGGGAAACGCTTTTGTTAATAAACAGCAGGTCCGTGGCAACCTAACCATGGGTTTTCCGTCAGATAATTCTGGAAGGATGACTGCTCAGTCAGCTTGTCAAGATTCCACTATGTGGAAAACAAATAAGTCATAAAATGTGTAGTTTGAAGTTCACTATATATGAATGTAGATTAATTTGGAAGCCCGTCAATAGAAATTTCTGCAGAATAGTTTGACATAATTATTTTTCTCCTACTAGGATGTGATTGTTTTAACGAGACGAGTTTCCGAATTGGAGGAACAACTAAATGAACGGGCAGAAGAGGTGGACGAACTCAAGGCGGAGAGAAATAACACCAAGGTATGTTATGTGTGAAGCAATCATCAGTGAGTTTCTAGTGGTTTCGATACAAACGTACTAATTTGAGAAATTAGTGCTTCCATTTTTTTGATTATATATGTAAGATTCAGTCTCTTGGTAAGTACCATGCTTCGCTTTTCCGAATAAACCGGGTGTACACCCAATTTATTAGTCTGCTCATATTGTTAGAAAGAACTAATTTTACTACAACTTAACTGTCAGGCTTATTGTCAGACTAATTTGCAGCCCCTACAGCAATCCAAATACAAACTTGATTATTTTCCCTATCTTGAGGAAGCAAGATATCCCTTGAGAGAGAAGTATTTCATGAAATGTTAGGCTGGTTGCTTTGTCATACATTGGATTCCTCTTGGTTAACATATTATCGCAAATGGTTCGTAAAATGAACTGAGCTGTTAGTTAGGTTGCACTCGTTATGTGATATTATGCTTGAAGTGTTCGCGTGAATTTGTCTACAGGTTCCAAATTACCCATGTATAATGAGTGTAAAGGGTGGGTTTCAACAACACGGATTTACTTATAAAAATCAGACATTGTGGTACGGATGCCGTTTGGCATCAATGTGTTTGTCAATCAGTAGACGGTGAGTCGTCGAAGTTTGAAAAAAAGCGTGTGTTTACGTTTAACATCCATGCTGTTATCTCTTAAAATCAAATTTCAAACGGTTGTGTACGTTCATACATAAACCGACAGTCACACACACACACACCAAGGCAGAAGTTCTGCTAGAAGACGGTAATATGTTTAGACCAAAAAGAATATGAAAACCGGACCCAAAAAGACGTATCTCTTGGTTCAAGCATGCCCATCCTTACATCGCTCGCAACCAAAAAACGGAGAACGAAACCATTATTAGGTGCACTAGAAAATCAATGAGTTATTAAATCCATATCAGTTTCTTTTGAGCCAACGTCCCGTTATTGTGCGACTCTTCTTAAAATCCCTTCCAGGGATTAGTAAAATAAATCTGTCGTTGCTGAGCCCAAATGTGAAACAATAGTTAGCATCATTTCTGTGGAATTTCACCAGCACTTTGCAACCAACATTTTATGAGCCGTGATAAGTGGCTGAATCAAACACAAGATGGGATAAACCGAGCCGCTTACGTTCGTCTCAACAGGAATAGAGCATATATCCATTGAAATATTTTCTATCCCTTTCTTGTCTTACAGATTTTGCTGGAGCATTTGGAAACCTTGGTTGCGAAACATGAAAGATCACTTAGAATGACTGTAGTAAAACGGCATACCTTAACACCAGGGACACCTGGAATCGCCTATGCACCAGGTGTCACGGAGACAATGGCACCTGACACGGACTCGGGTTTGAACGGAATGACCTTGAAGGATTATGGGCAACAAGTCCGCACCGGGACGGAAAGTCCATCAGGAACGGGATTAAGTTCTGAAGTGGAAGTCTTGAAGGCGCTGAAATCTTTGTTCGAACACCACAAGGCATTGGATGAGAAGGTCCACCATCGTCTGAGAGCTGCACAAAATCGCGTGACTGAGCTAGAAAATGCCCTATCAGTCGCGAGAACTTTGTCACCGATGGAACCAAAAGATTCGTTGTCCAAGGAAGCTCAGACAGATGAAAGTGAACTTGGCACGTTCAATAGAGAATGCCATATTTTTTCGCTTAGATAGTATATATATATATATATATATATATGAAATCTGTTGCCAATCTATACTGTGGATTGTTCTGAAACTGGCAAATAATGGGTGTATGGCTGGTGCATGAGAGAGATCTGTTAGTCCTTACAAGTGTTTCTATTTAATTCAATTACAGGAAACACTTCTAGGGAAGAGGAGCTAATAATCTCATCCTGTTTTTGCTCAGCCTAGCCAGCGTTATTTTCACAAAAAGAGAAAGGTAGGCTTTTGTTTCGTTTGTATTTAACTTTCAAAGTAATCGTGGAATTTTGGTGGCGGTATTTCGCTGATGGCCATGACAGCAGTCGGAAAGGCTCCTAGTGACAGAAGGGACCCTTAGAACTTGGTCTCACATATTTTACACTAAACAATGAGGCGGAGTGGTTACCAGAATCCCGCGAGTACTGTTCACATCGATTTTTCCATGGAATCGACTTGGATATCTGACGTTATCTTGCAGCATTGTCAACTGAATTGTTCTTTTTTACCCACAGCTAAAACCGTGTTCTGTGTGGTCAGCTGTTTTCTGTAACCTTCGTCGCGGATAATACAATCAGACTTGGCTAGTCAGAGCTGTCATGCCATTCATTTTTCACAACTGCTCAGCCGCTAAATAATTAGACAGGGCACTTGAGTGTGTTTTCATTGCTTTCATCATTCTAAGCGAGATAGTTTTGAATCAATGATCAAGTCTGAGTCGCTGAATAATAGTCTAACCACATCTAACCCCTTTCCAGCAGGTGTGCTAAAGAAAAGTGAAGTGGACGTACATTTTAGCAAGACTGTATAAATTGGAAAGCCGAAGTTTAAAATATAAATCCGTGATCGACCATTGTAGTTACGCAACATCCAAACCAGACAGCTTCTGCGAATCCGCAAGCGATGATTAAGCACGTTAGGGCTTTGAGAATAGGTTGTTGTATTCGTTACTTATGACTTACTCATTTGTTTACTTGCTAAGTGCACTAATATTCCCAACAAGTTAGCAAATTTCCGTCGGAAAACGTTGCTTGTACATGCTCACTGAGTGAGAGACGGTTTTAGACTTAATACTGTAGAAACATGACCGTGCAAAACTCCTGAAGCGCATTACCCGTGAGGGGAACTAAACTCATTTGAAAGCACAAAGATTTGCTTGTACTGACTTTGAAAATCTCGTTTTTATACTTCATCCAACACCTCAGCTAAGCTGATATCAGCGCAGACTACAGGATCAATAGCGCCACAACCCCAAACGAAGACCATGACTATTCCACCGTCTACATCCCTATCTAGCGCACTATCCGCCGCGGCAGCCGCAACCCAAGCGCTTAATCAAGTAAAAGAGCTGCAGAATAATTTGGATCAGCGGGTAAGTGTGTTCATGATTTCCCCCCTCCCCAAATGTTGTCCATTTTATAAAAAAACAACTCTCCGCGCAACATTTGTTTTCTATACAACCTGCAGTCGAATGAACTATTGTTGGCGCGAAGGCAAGTAATTGAATTGACCAGTAGGTGCAAAGAATCAACCGACTCATTGAACTTTGCCCGAAACGAACTCAAGAGAACTGGTGAGCAAGTAAGTGTTTCGTGAACTTGTTTGATTCCATTGAACTTAATCTATCTTTTATTTTAAAGTGACCGACGGATGCTAAACAGTCGAAATTTTACACATTTGTCGCGGTTAGTGGTACAATTATCCTGGGATTAATAGTGGCACTGCGTCGCCCTGATGTAGCACCGGAGTGAAACGAAACTGCGTATCCAAAATATAAAGAAACGCGGAAGAAAGCGGTTGGAAAGGTTGTTCAGTTCACAAAAGCGCACTGATTTTAAATAAGCAGAAAAGATCGGTAGAAACGCCAGGAGAAACCAGACAGCCAGTTTTGGTCTCTAAGGACAAACGTGACGTTAATACCTAGCAGTATGTATGAGTGTGCCATGAAAAATCTATCAATAAGTGAATACTGTATAGGGCGGACATTTGTGAACTGGAGAATACGTCTGAGAGACAGTGAACGATGGCGAATTAGAGCCATAAGTGGAGACGTTATGGCGACACGCCATCACTCAACGATTGCGAAACAGAAAACTACGAATCTCACATAGCACTATTGTGGAACGTTCGTGACAGTTAGACAACGTTTCCCCGGTAGGCACATTCAAAACGTATTTTTTCAGTTATCCGTTTGTTAGGACTCATCGGGTACTCAGAAAGATCGGAATTTGTGTTGCTTGACCTAGTAGTGGTCACTGAATTATTATTTGTCGGTTGGAATATGCGTAACTGCTAACACCCTTCTAGTATATGGTGACGTGGGAGGATTAAATGCACTCCACTTAAAATCTGGCAGCCAGGGAAGTCGATATGGTTTGTTTATTATCGGATATTAGTCAGTTGTATGTTTTAACTACAGGGATTTTCAGCTGCTAATAGGGTCATGAGGCTGAATTCCTTGAAGTAGACGAATCAGAATTACGTGAACACAGAAGTGTATTTTTGTCGCTGGGTTCAGGACAAATTAGATTTTAGGCCCATTAGAAAAAAAGGAGTAGGGCTAGAGGCCTGCTGGTCCTCCGATTAGGTGGATTATATACGGATGAAAAACGCCTATGTGCTGAAATAGATTTATATGTCGCTGAGAGTTATCTTTGTCTGGCGAACGTCTAGAGGTCTGTCTTGATAGTCATTGGGTTTCCTCGTTATCCCTCACATCCAAACAATGTCTTTAGACTAGCGTCTTTGCTGTGAGTTAGCTAATTAGCGGGTTCGAGTAAGAAAGGTGTATTTCACAAAAAGTGAAATCAGGATGATGCTATGAATAACTCGAAGGGAAATCTCAGTAGAGCGGTATCTTATCATTTATATCCCACAACTGACTGTTGCTCCGGCCAGAAGGAACATTTTCAGAGGAATAGTGCGTCTCAACAAGCACTAATCTTTAATTCATTGACAAACAGACACTTTTACACTTCAATAACTGAATTAACTCCTGAATATTCTCCTATTGCTTTCATTTGATCAAACTGCATTAACGGCTCATATTATCTGGACACTCTGCGGGTGCCTTACCGCATCCCCGTTGGAAATTAGTTTAAGTTATTATAACAAAGAAGGTAGCGAACAAAGCTTGTTTTCTGTGATTGTTCCTTTTGGCTAATACATAAGAAATTTATATGGTACCAGAAACCACGGGTAAAAGGTTAAGGTCGGGGGTACAATACTTTAGAGAAATAGAAATCAATGGAAGGGGGGTTAAATGAGGGATACGTCAATGGGTCACGGAACCAGGTAAGTGAAGTCAATGTCAGACAGACTTGTGGGACCGGATATTTCGAAGGCATATTCAAGTTCAGAGGTTGCACAACTTTCTTTTGGACGCAAAGTTGTGGATCGAGCAGTCGGATTCCAATCTTCTCTGCGATCGATACTAGTCTGGATCTCCCCAGTCGTGATCGGTTCGGAGGTACCAGGTATAGGATAGTGAAGGCTTGCTTCTTGTCTACTACATAACTGGTTTAAGCCGATAGTGGTGCAATCGCGCTTGAGCCTGGTTTCTTCCAACTACCACTCAGAGATACGGGATTATGTTATCACATTCTTCCGACAAATGCCCTGTCCTACGACCAATGTATGATGCTCGGCACGAGCACACATTAACTGAAGCACATTTCCATGCCTACATTTCTAGTTTGTGACCAAGACCTGTTATTTTAGAAGCGCACTTGCGAGGCAGTTCGTCTCTCCACGTTCAGTCAGTTAAAAGACCACGCTCTGTTCACACATCCAGCCTGTCGGTGTTCTTCAGCCAAAACCCTTCCGTAGCTAGTGAATATTAGATACACGATGAAGAATGTCTTCCACTACACGATGGTCACACTCAAACCACGCATATTTCTAGATGGTCACCTGTTGGCCGAAAAGCCTCCGCAATTGCACTTTATGTGATTGGAGTGATGGTATCCTGTTCTGTTTTCAGCTAAGAAGAAGATGTCACCCCCTAAATACACAAATTCAAAACTGCCCTGTACATTTTGTCCACCACACTGAGCCGATTCACTTCATGCATGCGTTTCTGATGGAACCCATCTCCAGTACCGAGCACTGTAGTAACTATACGTAGCTTATACCATTTCTAAGTCCACAGGGCCGGGTCGGATAACGACCCTGCATTTTCGCCTGATCTCTCAAAACAGGATAGAAGGCACGTGATAAGCTTCCAGCTAGCAGGCATCAGATATGTCCATTATAAGTGAAAAGAAAGAAGTAAAGATGTTGTGCGTTGAAGCAATTGTTACTGATGGAGATATTACGCGGTAGGATATTTTCGCTTTGCGAAATACATTTCTGCCATGAAAGACAGCATACCGTCTACTCCTATGTACTTTTTTTCGCTCCAATGCCACACTACTCTTTGCTATTTAGTAGCCCAGTGTTGGCCTGCATGGGTGTTGCGTGGGCCCCACTTATCTAGGTTACGCTTTCATTTAGATTTAATTTTCCCTGACCGTCCTAGCTGTGACACCGCTAGGTGCATTCTCAATGGCAGCGGAGATCAACATCAGTGCCACCGACAGCAGAACATTACCGTTCAATGCTGATACTGCACTGCTGTAAAGCCATAGTTTATTTGAAAGCCTCATTCCATGAAAAAGATATAAAATGACAGTAAGAACACCCATGACTTCTTTTAACTGTCATTGCAAGATTTCTCCAAATAAACTCAATATGGATAACGTGGATGGCATTCTAGAACTTTTGAGTGGCTGTATTCAACCTTCTATTATCTAAAGAACGAGAACGTTGTAATTAATGTAGTACCGTCAACCTTGTGTGAGGTCCAACGATTGCGTCAGACGGATAACTATTGCTAGCCAAAATGGGTTTGCCTGATATCCTGGATTAAGTAAATCGCTAATGCTTATTGTCAGTGAGAGGATACATGCTTAGCGGTTGCCGGTCAGCATATAAACGGAACTGTGTCTGTGGCGGTTGGTGCATCTATACTGATGTCTCCGTAACTGCGTACCATTACCTCAAAACTCCCATGGGTGCGTCCAACATCGGTAAAATGCTTAGCTTTGCCGATTGCCAATAAGCATGTATGCAAGATTAGTTTTGGTAAATAGAAGAAATCATGGCTTTTTTCACATAAAACCTAGACCATCTGGGTAGCAATCTATTCGAATGACCTGCATCTGTTGCTGCCGGACAGGATGGATAGAGGCTAGCTAGGAGGCTGAAAGAGCCGCAGAAACTTCTGTGTTTATGACCACACTAAGTGTATCTTGATCTCCACGCACACCATAAATATTTTATCATGCTGAATGAAAGAATTCTCGCCATTCTTTCAAAGGTGAGGTTTAGATAGGGTTGGATATCTTGTTAGATTTATAGCCGACTGTGCAATCAGGCGTATCAACCCATCCGACGTTGATTCAGTAAACCTTGAGACGTGAGTTCTAGACCAATGCAACTGTACAGATGATATCTATAGAGCCTAAGTTTATATGTGTATTATAAACTACAAAAGAAGTTTGGCTCAAAGCTTCTAAAACGTTGCCAAGTTTCCACTTAAAATCTTGCGGAGATGAGTGCGGATATTATTCAAATTCGAGTTACCTACAAAGTCAGTGGAATAGCGTCTTAAAAGACACCTGTACTTTGGTTGTGGTCCTACTCGGTGGAAAAGTCTTCCCCGTTTTCGGGTGAACGGATATCAGCGTTTACTTCTGTGATAGTATTCAGAACCACTTTCCTAGATGAGTGTGCATGGAGCTACCATTTCAATGTCTGATTTTCGCCAGCCTGTCAGCAACCGTTTAAAAAGCCCTTACAAACGTAACAAGAAAACCCTGTGGGTGTATATCTGACTCCAGATATGTATATTTAGGACTGTATAGATTAAATCAAACTTAGGAGGGATCATGAAACGGTTGAGGCACTTGGCGAAGCAAGCACTGATGATGGTAAATGGGTGTCGTCTGAAACCAAGGAGCAGAACAACAATTAACTCAGCAAAAATATATCTGGGAAGTTGAGGAAACACTTGGGTAACCCCGCGAGTAAATTTGACATATTACTTTCCTCAGTTCAGTGCAGTTTGTAGCAAAAGTACAACGGGAGGGGTGTAAGCTTTACATTTTTCTTTATTGCACATATGGGATCAGTCGGAAAGTCTCCACTTTAATTTGTCGTTCTGGTGAAGCATGAAAAATTGCCACTTAGTGCACATCACCTGAAGGTCCTTTTTCTGCCTATATGAATAAACAATATGTAGTAAAAAGTACATAAATATCCCACAAAATACAGTTTATGCTGCGTACACGAAATATATTGCGGTAAAAGGTCCAGGTAACATAAATCCTTGATTATTTATTGAACAGATACCTTATCAATATGCTATTGGCGACTTGGTATCTGATAATGTAGTTTAGTACTCAAACTAATCGTTCGGCGTCTCCCACCCGCAGGGTTGGATTTCGGCCAACTCACCGATGAAATCCGCAACTTTTAAAAGCCGATATTGAATCCCTTGTCCTAAAGAACTGCAATTCTATACGACGACAACAGTGAACAGGGATGAGTCTTTCTGATTTCACAGCAAACAAACCATCACAGTCGCGAACTCGCCTCAGTGAATGAATTTGTTGATCATTTCTATTTCTGCTGTGTTCTTGGTCTCCAAAAAAGTTAAATACAGCGTTTCAATTTATTGCCGTCTTACCAAGATGGCTTTTTTGTATACACTGCAGTGTATAGACAGTTTACTCTACTGGATGAACTAGTAATGCAGTGAGTACAACCATTCCGTAGGGATTGAAGTTATCCTATCCACAGTGTGAGTAAACTTGGATATTAGGCGACTTATACAAATGTCACAACGGCGAGTGCTTTTAAAATCCTTTCAACAAGGTTGTCATGACCAGAGGTATCCGAATTACACTGTTTTACTTTCTATATATACTATATATACAGTATGTAGCATTTTGAGATTTTGAGGATCCTTCTTAGCTGCGCGTTTCTGTATTCGGATGTGACGCAGAATGCATCATTCTTTCAAATGGATGGGGGAGAAGTTACAAAGAAACAACAGCATTTGTCCGCATGGTTCGATTTATGGCTATTCACAACGGCTCAGAACTATATATAGAATTCTAGATTTATCAGATATATTGTTCGTTCTTAAATTGCACTCAACTTCACCGAACCAGCGAAGTTGTGAGCAGCCGGCTGATTTACATTTTCTCCGCTATGTTTGCTCTGTTTGTCTGGAAACTAGGCCCGGTAATTTTTCGGCTGAATCCTTCTTCTAACGGATCGATCAGTCCAGTCAGCCAAAGTTTCGTTGATCCAAAAAACCAGCATAGAAAATCAGCTACCTCACGCCTACCCAAGCGCTTGACAAGTCACAAACGCTTTCAAAATACACATTCTTGCCGCAACTTCACACAAACTAAGTTGTTCGAATGGATGACGATTCAAGATGCTCCAAGAGAGATCCTACGTTATATGTTATACGTTATTCAACTGTCATGTTTGGGCAAAAAACTGTGCATAAATGGCCTATTTCTTGAGGAGAGATTTCGCAGTAATTCAAAACAATAATAATTACTGTTACCATCTGATGTTGTGGAATCTATGGGTAAATTCAACTAAGGATAAGAAATCAATCCATGGTGCGAATCTGTAGGCTACAAAAAGGAATAAATGACCACCTCATTTCCACAATCGTATGCAGCGGTTCAATTTCTGACATTTGACTTCATTACGGATATCTGCAAAAATAACTACCGCACATTTGTTGTAAAACTCATTTGCCGATTTGAAGGACCGATAAGTCGCGCCACTTTTGTCTTCGCGATAATGCTTAACAAGCCTTCGGACTTGGCAAACACTCAGATGGTTTCGATGTGCCATTTATCACTGAAATAGCTGTCCGTCTCAAGGACTGATTGCTTGAGATGCAGAATGTTGAGAAAGGAAGAAAATAGAATGACTGCCTATGAATTCCGACCGACGACTGACTATTGCTTGGGTTCAAATGCAGCACAGCAAGAATAATAGCGGTCTATGTGCCTAATTCTATACTGTGGGTTCGTCCTGATCATTAATACTGTAGACGGGGTAGACAGCCATTCTGTTGACCGCAGGTTGTGTTGCTGAACATAATTGCACAAGACAGTTGTATCTCACTAGAAACACATTTTATTCATAAAAAAGCGCAGCAGTCAACTATATAGGAGCTACTGCTCCTTTACTGAATAAGGTAAACTAGAGCCTTAACTTGCCACTTTTCCAAACCTGACTGCCTTCTTTCGGACTAATTGAGGATCATCATAGGGTTAAACTCGTCTTCAAAAACAAAACCTCTTGGACTTCACCTTATACCAGGTTTTATCGAATAACCATGCGAAGCTGTAAAATTCATTGTGTGGTTGGTTTGACTGAAGATTATAATCTCATACGCCTTGGAATATAAATGCATAGATAGGTTCCAGATGGACAATACCCAGTTATTAGAGCACACTAGTTCAGTATCCGGTTTCTTTTCATCTATATCACACGCCCCAACAAACAGAAAACAAGACTTTTTCAGAAAAAATGGCGATTACAGTGACCTGCTTAAAAAGTGCGCAGTAGCTAAATCCGAATGACAAATACTTTAGTAGATAGCATATGCAATCAATATCATTTTTATAAATTTGTTTCAGATCGAAAGGTTAAACCGTGAGATAAGAGATGCCGAAACCCAGCGCGCTGAACAAGAGAAAAAGGTTTCAACGTTAGAACAACGTTATCTGAAAGCTCAACAGGAAATTGCCGTGAGTCAAGAGGCAGTCGATAAGCTCCAAACCGAATTGGCGGTCAAGTCAGCGCAGTCCAAACAGGTAAGTTGGATATCTGGCATTCATCAAAGGTTTTGCAGAAGTGTAATGCCACTAAGTTACTTCGGTGGCACACAAAACATATATGCTACGTATTATAGAGCCACTTAAACTTTTCCAAAGAGATAAAATTCACGAGATTTTAGAACGGGTGGGTAATCATTACCCAATTCTACAGGTATTACTTTACACAAGATGTTCAGTTCATGCATTTTCAGCGGAGTAATTTGACTAAAGAGGTATAGCCTCCCAAAATGCCCTAGAGAATGGATGCAAGAAATACTTTGATAAAATATTCTACAATTAAGGTAGCCCAACTTCGCGGAAGTTCTTGCTTATCGATCGGGTTGGGCATGCGCACTCGATTTAATGGACATTCACCGCAATAGGTAGATATGATTTCTTCTGTCATTTGCCTTTTGAAAAATTGGGAAGTTGCAATCTTTTGTCAAGAACGATAAGTTTTTGGATAGGGAAATTCAAGAGGACGTTATGAAAATCATGAACGGTACAAGCGACAAAACTGGACGGCATCAGCATGATGTCTGCGTTACAAAGCCCTAACTGTAGCATGTGCCTTGGCGGCTGATTGTTTTCTATTCCATGAGTCATACTAGAGCGATACCTGAAAATCGACCTCTATCATTTAGGGCTAGGGATACACTTCAGTACATTACATTTGTATCTTCAAACAAGAGGATTTCTACTCTTTTTGATTATCCAATCGTTAATGCCTCGCTCACATTGGTAAGTTTCCAAACCTATCATTAACTATACCGTGATAGCCTGGTTGTCTTTGGTTTATTCTATGCACAAGCCAGATTTATCCAATAAACCTCTCCACGTAGTTAAGCAACTTTTGATCAAAAATAACATTCCATTTTTCTTATTAGGACCACACAAAAGCTCGAAATCTTATACGTTTTGACATCTAAAGCCAATTCATTGGGATGGCCATTGCTTGATTATTATTATTATTATTATTAGTAGTAGTAGTAGTAGTAGTAGTAGTAGTAATAGTAGTAGTAGTATGGGCTTACGGCATTCAATTCGTTAGAACAGTACAACAGTGAGTGATCGCATCTTGATCAACCTCTCCATATTACTGACAATGCCAGTTACCATTATTAGATCCGTAGGGATTTATCGATTTACATTGGCCTCATGCAAAATTTCAACCACATGTGTAACAAATTTCGACTACACAATTTCCAAGCCATATATTTTAATGTTTAATATCTAACTCACAGTACATTCTGTACAAAAAGCAGATTACAAAAACCCAAACAGTTTCTATGAAACATTTTCCTCAAACATTTATAAACATCTTCACAGCATTTTCCTACTGTATCCAAGTTGACTGCTGCTAGAGAACCCATAACGTAATGAGTGAAAATTTAAAGCTCTATTCTGTACATCGTATTTTCGAGACATTTTCAGAAAACAACTGGCTGCAGGAAGAATTGTTTGTTTTATAGTTCGTCATCAGCATAAGGTTGTAAAGCCATCAAATTTCTAGTGAAGCGCAGTATTTTTAAGAATTTGTTACTCTCAGAAACAAGCGCTGCCATCAACAAGCTGCCAGACGTTGTTTTTCCAGCTTTTTCATTCCTTTTACGGGTGGATGCACTAAGCTGTGACAGCTGTGTGGAACCAAATGGCTACACACAACAATTCATTGTTCGGAAGAGAATCAAAGTTTTCTGAATTTGCCAATCACCTTGGACAGTGTTCTCTGTGCTTTATCCCAGTTTAGCTTCATACGACAGAAAACAAGATGGAACACATGATGCAATAAAGCCAGTAAACAATGCATCGCACATTTGTCCGTCCCCCTTCAGCAATAACCAATTCAGTTACGGAGCTGTAGACTCGCACTGCCACTAGTTTGCTACAAAACCTGTGTTGGTATTCTGATTCATGAAGCACAGATATTTGGTAGAAGTTTACTAAGCAGCTGATTAAAACCTGCAGACAAACCTCTACTGACTTTTCCCTTTATGACTAATGAGTTAGGCTAGCAAAATCAATCCTGGGCCTAAAAAAACTACTCCTTTAAAAGTTTAATTCGAGGTTTTTTGTATCCTGAAGAAGAACAAACCGAAGATATATGTTGCCATAAATTTTACAAAGTTTTCTATGGTCAAGTAATTGACATCTGTATAAATAGTACATTAAAGACATCCATAAAAATATCTGCGGAAAAAACCCTGGAGGCCTTCGTCTAGATTGATTTTTCTTTATGCCAGTGGTGACCCTCCTAACCAAGCTTCCAATTAATTTTCACTCACTGTATCGTTTTGCTCCTCTGAGGGAGCCTAAGATATATAACAACTCGTATTTCATTCATTATGACAAATATTCCATAAAATTACCGGCAGTTTGTCCCTTTGCTTGCGATTCTGGTGGTGATGGGTTCTATCGCGAAATGTTTACGCAGGCAAAACCAGCGATCCTTCATTTGTTTTGCAACAATCTAACGTCATCTCGATCCATGCCATCGCGCAACAAATTCACATTACCACATGGAGATGGATGAAAAGTGAAAATAATTTTCACAGATATCCAACCAATCCAGTAGTATTTTTGGTCGTAAATTTTGCTTTAGTAAGGATGATCAGTGGCACGTAGTTGCAAGAGAATCGCAGAATTTGCGTCTAAATTTCCATCGTCTGAACATTCCGTCGGTAGATGACACACTCATTCTCACCGGAGACTCACGGGCAGAGTTCAGACGCCGTGACACCGCCTGCCAACGAAGAAACCACCCTTGACAATAGATTTCAAGAGGAAGTGGTTGATGTTTTTTTGTGACTGGAATAGCTTGATATACCAAAAACCGTGTTTATCTTTCACAAATGAACAAATAGTCCAATAAAATGTCAATATAAATGCAAATTCTGCATTTCTGTGCAGGTTTGGTGGTAGTAGTGTTCCACGTTTATCAGCAGTTGAAGGAAGGAAGCTGAAAGATTTCTAGTTTTATGTTCTCACAGATTCCAATAAGATGCTACGGACGGCAGTTGCACTTTTGTTTCTCCTAGCATTTTTATGTAGGATACCAATTTTGGTAACGGAAGCGTTAATTCCATAAGTCTTAACCGTTAATCATATTGAACCAAAAACGTTCGAAGCATACCATGTTTCCCCTTTATTGGTTACTATTTTTCTGATACGTGGGACGCTCCGAAGATGCTGTTGTTTAATGAGTTAAAAAGACAATTTCTATCTTTACTCAAGGAATAGGCTTTTTCGAAATCTGTGTTTCTATTCCGTACTAATTAGTTTATTATTCAGCGGTACTTTCCCGGAAGACAATAAACTTTTCTATACATATCCTTGAATACCTAATTTACCATTTTTTACAACTAGTGTTTTTCTCCACAATCGAGCTATATATCTTGTGGCCGTGGTGAAAGTAGGGACGGCAAAAACCGCTCTTATGGAAAAACATTCTACCATAAGGCTCGATATGCTAAAAGACGAGAAATCAGCCCAACCTATACGAAAAAGCAAGTCACGTACACTGAAAACCCCACTTTTTGCACGCGGCAACGGCCCTGAGTAGGTATCAGGCCCATATTCTAGGTATATTTGATAACAGTTGCATTCTAAGATTATTAATATTTGATAAGCAAAGTTGTGAGCAGAAAATTATTTAGGGCCTGGACACTAATGTGGGTGTTGTGCATGTCGAAGAGGAATTCTGGAAGAAGAAATGGACAAAGTAAAGGGACTAATTGCTTCACAAAAATGGATCAGTAGACTTTTCAGGTAGCAAGTCTAATCTCGTAACCAAGAAGCAATCTAAGTTACTCAACATTAACACTAGTAATTTAAGGTTGGAGCGTTGAGTGGCTATGACAGTCTTAATTGTGGGTGTTCACGTTTTCTCCAAATGGAATTCAATGCATCTCTTGCACCTTCCGATCGAACAGCGATCCAGTCGCATTCCCAGAATAGAGAAAATCTGTGTATTAGGCTGTGAAAAACAGATTAAATAGAATGGCTCGGCCAAGCAGAAGATAATCACAGTACGCTTCTTGTTACTCTCTCTTTTTCTTTGTAAACTATATCTCTTTCTTCTTGGTATTATCCCGATGCATCATTCACAGTACTCCGAAATTTCACAGAAACAAATCACTTTCCTGAGATCAGGAATCAATCAATAATTTAAAGACGCAAATGGCTGACGGCCCTTTGAAATGGTCGCGTTTGCTGAGGTCTGGAGTCGGTTTCATGAACAAGTGGTCAGAAAATGTTCTGTGAAATTATTGTGGAATAAGAATGCTGTCTCAAGGACGATGCATGGCTTTATTTCTCCAATGACACCGAGTCCCGAAACTTTTATTGCGATTGGTTTGCTTTCTAATAACTCTCAAGTTGTTGCACTTGGGTTAGCCTGCTGAATTAATTACAACGTCCCTGATTGCTACTATAAAATGAACAATAACTTTGCATGAACCTATAAAAAATATGGAAATAAACTAGTTTTCTTTCTTTTTACCGCTTACGTTGCATTTCTTCATCGGATAAGCATGAAGAACGATTACGCGTGCTACAAACTCGTCTGGAAAACACAGAAGAAGAATTACTTAAAGCTAAGCATGACGCAATCAATCACTTTCGGATGCAATCCCTCCTGCTGGACAACACAACGGCAACAACCACAACAGATGACGAATCTCACGACGAATTTCAAACAGCAGATGGGCGGGCGGCCGAATACCAAACGAGTCCGACGAAGATGAGAGAAACTTATGAAATGGATACTGACCATGATGAGTCTGTTAGCCTGGGAGATGCTGCAAAGGGTTCGGAAGACAATACGTCAACCACTCAGACAACTAAATCTACAGTGATAAGTGTACCAAAGCAAATTTCGTTCAAGTATGTCACCGGGGAGGATTCCGAAATTGGCCTTTACGTCGATCGTACCAGAGAACTAGACGGCGAACTAGAAGAGCTTAAGCACGAGTTAGTCAGGATGCGAGAACAAGAATTGTTGAACGAAGACCATATCGCCAGACTCTCTTCCACAGTATGTTTACGATTTTATATTTTTTATCTAATCTGTACGGCGATTTCAACCTGATTTCTGTTGAAATCCGTAGATTATTCCAACCATCTCAACTAGAAGATTATCGTACTACTGCAATCCGCTGAGAATAAACTGGAAGCTAAGTAATATGTAAAAAAAAGCTTTTTTAAAACGAATACCCATTTTTCTACAAACCATGTTTATGTGTATGACTAGATATTCTTTTAGAGATCTTGCAAAACCTGTAAGAAATAAGGGATAGTTTGTCCTTATTGCAATTTCTTGTGTGCCTGGTCCTTATTGTGTTTTATCCAATAGATAAAGAAAGCCACCCAATCAACCGCATCACAGAAGTTCACTTATAATATATAGGGGGTTAGACTTTTGTTCATAGTGACCACGGATCGCTTCACTGTTCACCTTACCTTTGGAATGTTCGAGTGGCCTACGCAAAGTCACTATTGATTTACATGAGATGCTATGAAGCCGACGGAAATAAATGTTTGCGTTGGAACGATAAACTCAACTTCACGCAATATAGTACAAGCATACCGGATTACCAACCAAATGTAAGGGCATTAAGAGCCTGGAAGTGGCCAGTAGCGACTGTGTAGCCATTCCAAGCAAGACACCTCAGGAAAATTGAAAGCCTCATGGTCAATTTAAAAAAAATTTCCCGTCAACTATATACGTTTTGCAGTTTCCTCTTTGAAAAAAACAAGACCACTGGTCAAGTTCAGGTTACTGACTGCATTTACACCCATCTGGCCACTAAGTGCGAGGTATTGCTCTGCCTGGCTAAGCTTTCTGCCGTTTGATTCCACCATCACTGCCTGTGTCATTATGAGGGAAGGGAGAGGTCGATTTACTTTATTATTGGCCGTGTTAGTTCATACGTGTATCAAAAATGAGCGCTTAGCGAAAGTGGTTGTTGCGGTGTTCTACTTCTGTGATTTACCATATTCCAGCCCCGTGTATTTTCCAAAGCCCTATTATTTTCGGTATCCAATTTAGGTACACAGTAGCTGACACATCACAGTTTATGTCACAGTATCCGACACAATTCTGAACGTCTATAACTTCCAAATAATTTACCGTCTTAAAAATGGTTGAGATTTTCTGTAGTGTCGTGAAATGTTTCAGACATGTATTATTTGGGGGAAAGCAAACGGGAATAATGTACTCGCCTTCGTGCCGTCAAAAGGTTAGGTGTGCACATCATGGTCACAAAAGGTAGGTCACTCTGTGTTTGGCTGTTTAGGTTTCCAATGTACATAATCCGCAATGTCCACTCTGGGTTTTATCAAAATTTTGAAACACCTTGCAGACCTATTTGTCAGTGTTAGCGACCGTCAATGATGCACATTTCATGGCTTCCTATGGCGGTTAGAAGTAGTCGGTGGCTGAAATAAACCCATCTTAGGTTCGCATATTTTAGGATCCACGTGTAATTAAGGCTCTATATGGCTTACCTACCTCACTGATAGACACAAAATAATTAAATGTCGCTAGAATAAACCGTAATTTGTAAACTAACACTGTGTGTTTGCTCCACGCTAGCCTGATGAACATTACCCTTAAAGGAGTTGCTTTTGTGCCTGAAACCTCCGGTGTTCTGACGTGTTTTCAGCCAGCCCAGCATATCGTCAAAAAAGAAATCACATTGACTGGCAGTATAAACCGTAGCCTTAAGATAGCAGCCTGAATCCTGTAGTCAGGAGTCACAATTGCGGTTCAACTACGCTCAGCTGTAAAAACCCCAATAAGGAGAAAATTATCTGTGCGGCTGTGCTTTGGGGATCTGTCCATAACTTCTTTGGAAAAAACTGGAAGTTAACTGGTTTGCCCCTTTGATAGCGCAGTGAAGGAATGGGCTGAACGACGATTATTTAACAAAAAAGGAACAAGAGTAGGTCATTCAAATGGTGTATAAGATTGGATAAATTGCCTCTTGGAATGTATTCGAGATTTTTGCAGTCAAATGAAGTAAAAGTAAGATTCACAGAAAATTGATCTCACGTGATTTTTGTCTTACACAGTCCTGCAGGACATTTATTTTGACAAGCTGGCATGCGTTACATAATGAAATTTTCAGAGAACGAAAACTGAATAAAAGTAAGATTCACAGAAAATTGATCTCACGTGATTTTTGTCTTACACAGTCCTGCAGGACATTTATTTTGACAAGCTGGCATGCGTTACATAATGAAATTTTCAGAGAACTGAAAACTGAAAACTTAACACAAGGAACGGCATGTCAATCTTTGAATTACATCTTTATCGCCTTACAGTAGTAACGAGTGATTCTTGAGAAGAGCAGTGCTGACAGATTTACCAACAATGGACTTATAGGGTGCTCAATGATCCCATCAAACGAGTGAATTTGTTAGGTTGACATGCTATAATATGGCTAAAAGTGCGAATTAGGTATGACACATTGGAGTCATATGATGCACATTTCTGAAACGGTGATCATCTTGCATCAGCTTCGTCACTTGTTTATTTCGTTGTCCCTTATAGGTAGAAAATTTGTTACGAGAGTCCAACGAACGCCTGCAGAGTAACTTGGAAGAGCGAATGCTTGCAATGGAACAAAAACGCGAGTTGACTCTCGAAATGGACCGCATTAAACGCCAATTGGAAACAAGCATAGCCGAGCGTGAAGCGGGCCTTTCAGAGAGTAACCGGTTACATCGACAACTATCGGAGCTGGCTGTCACACTGCGTCATACACAAGCACAGCTTGTCACCGCTCAGCTGACGGCTTCTGCGGCGAACGCAGCCATGGCAGCTCTGGCGAAGTTCAGTCAAGAGCACGGCGCGCAAACAGCAGTTGATACCCCAGTGGGTTTCGAAAACAAATATTCGCCAGGACAACAAAATATGTTTATTAGTAAGTTTATTAGTAAGTTACAAGCTATAAAAACTAGGCTTAAATCTTCCATTGTGATCCCTTCTTTTTGAAATATCATTATAAGATTTTTAAAGCAGCCGAACTATTCCCAAGCCATCACAGTAGTTTCAGATCGTTTAATTTTAAACTTGTCAGAAAGCCTAGTAGAACTAATTTTTGCACTGCAATTTAGTTAGTATTAATTTTTGGTGGTACATTTCTATCTGCAGAGTCCAGTTTTCAAGCACGCTTTGTAATCTATTTTCATGGATCAGCCAACCAAAATATGTTGCGTCACCTTTCTCCGAATAAACCACGTGGCTGTTAGATCCTTAGTAGCAGCGCCTATGCTACTTTCAGTAAGCTATTTTAGTGAATTGGCAGTCCGTGCAATTAGTGCAGAGTTTTCACTGAGTCGCTGACGATAGACAGACTTGCGGCTGAGAAAACGAGAATTTTGTAAATCCTGTTTTATCAAACTCGAAACAACCTGACACTAACGCCCACCATGATTATCTGATTTCAGCACCGACCAGTCCCGCTAACCCGATCAACGTCCTTTCACAAGTGGTTCCAAATCTTTGGATAACGGCGCAACAAACACAAGACGAAAAGCAAGTGAGTCATCGATGTGCATTTTCGTAACAAGGTAATGTGCTGTTTTCCTGCTTTGCGCCAAAAAATCGGACAACTACCACCTGACGGCATAGAACTTGATGTCAGTTTTGATTTTAATTCAATTTTGTGTTTGCAGACTGCGACTGAAATCATGTTTTGAAGATTTTATTGGGTGAGTAGGCAAAGCATACTTTCTATCCCCAGTTAGCAGGATCAGGAATAATGGAGAGTGTTTTTTGGGTTTTATTATGTGTTATCCGTTTAATATTATTCAATATTCTTTTAGAATATCATATTTCTAGGCCACTAAATGCGAGAAAAGTTAGAATTTTATTGTTTTTTGTTTGACTGAAGTGTTTTAATGAGCTACATCTTACCTGAGTTATAGGCCCATATTTGACTTGCAGTTTCTCGGGGTTGTGCAAAGTCTTGCACATGGCTATTAAGAGATAAGTCATCAGGGACGTTAGCATAAGCAGTCAGTTAGAAGTGTCATAAAGAACGCTCGGTAACCACGACAGAAAAGTAAAACGTGGTCTTCCCCAAGGAGAAAGCAGCCCAATGAGCAATTCCTGTCATATAACCAGCTGCTTTTTAATTCAAACATACCCTCCTACGACCGAGAGATGACTGTTAGTCCTTTGACTTAAATCACGATTATTTGCCAGCGAAGCCCGCCGCCCCACTAGCAAAACAGTTCCATACCTGGACTGACAATCCATATAAAATTTGTTTTTAACTTTTGATTGGCAGCTCAACTATGAACATTCGCATTCCTAATGACCTTTTATGAAAAGCATCAAACTTACTCTTTCAGAATAAGAACAAAAATATTGAAATTTCGAAGCAAGCTGTAATGTACTTTGCGTCGTAAATCTCTGCTCCCTGCCTGTTTGGTTCAAACCATTAGAATGGGTGTTAAAATGGGGCTGCCAGCATAGCACAATTAATTTCACCGTTCAAGTAATTTACCACAGATGGCTATTGTAAAATAGGCAGCTTCCACTTACCTAACAAAACCTAATGCCTTTGAAGACAGCAGTTTCAAAGTTTCACATGTTGATCAAAGATTAAAATGTCGAAATTTTGAAATGTTTAAGTTAACTCAATCTGTAATACTCCATGACTATGTATGAAATGTATTTATGATGGCCTTCTAACGGTCGGACTGGTGTGTCGAGTTGCGCATCTTATTGTGGTTGTTATAGCCAGCGGACAGATCATCCTAGATGAAGTCACCATCAAACACTCAAAATTTTGCAAATAATGTAAGACTGAGGATGAGTCGTTGAGCTTCTTGAAAAGTGCAAACACAGGATATAAGAGTAGGTCTCCGTTAACATCAATTATGCCAATGCGTGAAATGTGGCCCTGAAAAGAAAATTAGTTGAAGTTTTTCAGACCTCATCTGGGCCTGTATGAAAATTTGCGGTTCTGGAAAACTGCTGCTGAAAATTTCATCTCCATAAAGTTGTTTAGTTGTGTATTATTGTCACTTGTCTTCCCTAGTTTTGCAGGCGCCCCTTCTTCGCAACACTCTAACATAACCAGGAGGTCGTGCGTTAATTCCATCATCCATCAAAATATGGCCTGTCATTTTTCTTTGTGCTATCATGTCACTACACATATACCACGATATTACATTATTGCGTTTAACAACACATATCTAATGAATTTCAGAAATAAACTGGTATCTAAACTGACGAATCGCACAGAGTTTTATTAAGTTTCTGAGAAAAGATCCCAATGTCCAACGCAACAAAAGGACAAGCCTGAGTTACAGCTAACGCATTTTTGCTGAGCATGCGATCCGAGAACACCAAAAGGATAAGTGACTCCAGGCATTCAGCTTCATACTAGAGTACTTCCGGTTGTCCAGAAAAAGGCATTGGTGAAAAACCGACATCATAAATCGGAAGTAACATTGTTTGCCTTATTTTTCTGTGTATAAGCAAACATATTATTAGTTGAGAAGCCTTTAAAATTCACTTTCGCGAGCTCTGAAATGGTCGGGATTTATGAGTATAATTTGTTTATCCTTGGCACAAAAATCTTAGACACACCGTAGGTGTTATGTGCGTTTTAAGACATCCTGCTTTTCGCAGACATAAACAATGATTTCAGAGAAAGGCAAATTCTGCGGACTGTCACTGATACTGGTTGCTTAATAAATGCCGTGCTGTCTATAACAGTCTGCCTTAGATGACCGGTTTGTTGGAAAATACCATTGATCTCAAAAAGCTAGGATTGTTTGCTGTTAAGAAAATTTGACAAATGGGGTTAAAAAATTGTGGTTAACGATAGAGAATCTATGAGGCTGCGATCGTATAAAATTTCGAAGCTAAAGTTGAAGCTGAGTCCCACTTGAAAGAACATTAGTTCAAAATAGCCAAAAAGGTAAATGGGTATTGGGTCACATGCGTTGCGTTACAAGTGTAGCTGAAAAGGAGTTCAAGTCCCTTGGGCGCATAAATTTGTGTTAGCTTTTTTGTCATGATCTGTCTTAGAATTCTTTTTGTTCAAATTTTCTAAAAAAAAACTCGGACTTATTGAAATCTGTATCTAACAGTGCTATCACCCTCGAATAGATATTTATTGCAATTCATTTGTGTGGTCATGAATTTAAAGACTCGAAGAAATACGATCAGGGAATGTCTCTTCAAGCTCACTCACCAATGCCTTTTTCATGCCTACATCACAACGTATGTTCTTTCAAGGCCAAACTTGCTGATCATCCGAGATGATCGAACAGATGACAACAACTGACCATCGACGACGTTCGGCCACTTCTGCAACCCTGGTCCCCACTTCAGCCATGCCAACAAAATTTAATTCCTCATAAGTTATTCGTAGTTTTGGCCATTCTGTGCTTATCTGATGTCTCACTGGAACTTCTGTGATGTTTCTTGCACAAAGTCTCATGAAATATGAGGTAATCTGTTCCTATATTGTTCAATCTATGTATATACACGTTAGTGTTGTTAAGCCAAGACCGAGTAAACGTCAGTTTCCACATCGTCCAGAAAGATATATAGAAAACCACAAATTTGCAGTTCTTAGTTGGTTTCATTTGGAAGGAAGAATCCAGTAGCGTATTTTTTTCAGCTCTTCGTATGTGATCATATGAAATAGCAGATTAGGGGAGAAAAAATCCGCCATTATTCACACCACTCTCCTCCATGAAATAAATCATAAAAATGAACTGCCCTATTTGTAGTCCTTACAGTAGATTATTTAAGTTTTTGAAAGAAAGATCGTGTAGGAAGGAACTCTGAATTTTTTTAACCGTTACAAAACCGGGAAGTTCCTTGCTTTTGGAAACAGACGCGGGCAATCCTTGGGCGCCCTGAAAATGGGTAAAAGAGGGGTTTTGCTCCCATAAATTTACAAAAAACACGAAAGCTTTCTTTCATGTTTTTTCACCTCTGATTTCTCCACTACCTTTTGTATTGACAGTACTTGCATTGAAGACAAGCAGGTCAATATTCTGTGATGTTTCCGTACGGAATATTTACTGTTTAGTAGCAGGTCTTTTTCTGTTATCAAGAACATAAAAAATTTGGCGTGTCATCTGTCGGCTATTGGCTTGTTATCCAAAATCTACTGGAATAGGCCAATAAAATATGTCTTATTGTCATTTTACTTACAGATGGATAAAGGTTGTGCTTTATTCCTTATATGCACCGAGGACAGTACTTATTATTTCGTGTTTATACTCGCATACTCGTGAAGTATTGCCTGGAAAACTAAGCTTAAACAGAGTGTAAGGTATATCGAGCCTCACTTCATACTACGAAGTTCCGTCCATAAAATTCGCGCTAATCAATCTCTGGATATGTTTGTCAAATCTTCTGCTGAACGTTTTGTTGTTGGCAAGTCTTCGTGCACCTAGCTTTGTGCCATCCTCTACACTTTAGCTGTTTGCCCCGCCTACGGCAATGGGCCCTATTAGGATACAGCCATACAATGAGAGAGACAATTCTTCATCATCAGGATTCCTGTGCACGGAAAAGTGGTTTTATCTTTGTAACGTGATTTCAATTACGTCACGACTGCAGCACTAGAGCATAGTCATGCGCCCTCTACTCAATTGAGAGCGAACCGGTGTGTTAGCCTGTATGTACGTGCAAGAAATATTAGGCGAGGTAATTTCTTGCAATATAGTTTGTTTATACTTACGACAGAATGGACCGAGGGTAAACGCAGTTACATTTTTGCGAGATGGCCCAAGTGTTTAGAGCGCGAATTTACTGATCGAAAGGTCCGTGGTTCGAACCCGACTTCCCTGTCTCGACTTCCCCTGTCTAGGCTTGGGCAACCTGGCAGTACCCCAGCCTTTGTGCAACCTTTGGGTGGCATGGCATTTAGGCACCGAAAGGGTGCTACAGCTGGACGGCTTAGTGTTCACTCAGCCGATATTGAGCGACCCATTCACCTGAGCGCCACCACATGCATAAGGTTCAGGATGGCAAAAGTAACTTTGCTTAAGGCAACCAGTTCACAAATTAAATTATTAAAACACTCCAGTCTGCTAGCATTTGAAACGCGAAAATTTAGCTACGGATCATTTTTGATTTCTCAATTAATTCCTGGTACATACGATTAAAATACATCCAAAACCGGTCTAACGTGGAGCGAAAGCTTCTGGGGCTGTGTAGAGTGGGTCGTTGAAATGAAGAGACTTGTCAGGTATTGTACGAGTTTTCTGTGTTTGGATCCGGCTTGGAAATCTGTTTAAGTCGATTAACCTAAAGAAACAAATAGTGAATGTATTTACAAATTATACACATTGTGCTTAGTGCTCAAAACAATCTGGAACAATAAACTTGCTTCACTTGACAACCTTGCAAGATGATTACTTAGAAGAGTCGAATTTTATAAGTGCTTAACAAGGCACAAGGATTTATTAAACGGGGACGTGTTACACGGTGTCGGTCACAGTAAATTGATAGGGAAGTTCATGCCGTCCCTATTTGATTTTCGATTAATATCTAGACAAGTTATTGCATTATGTTTCCTGCTTGACCAGTCTGTACTAGCTTCCTGAAATTGTGATTTATTTTATTCAACAGTGTGACCTCTGAACAATGTTGTAACAAGAAATGCTATTGTTAGTGTAGTTTTTTGCCGGAAGAAGAACGAGATGTCTAAACAAACTCAAACCTATATTAATCTACTAGTATTTAAAAAAAACAATCAGTAAGGATTATTTGATCAAGAAATCTATTACCTCAGGATTCGGTCGAAAATTACATTGCTTGGTGTCGCCGTCTCTGGGGTTTGTGACCGAAGACCGCTGTCACTTTGAAGCAGTGTTTCAGAATCATTCTGGCAGGACAAATATTGGGAACATAATGACGGCTATTCAACAGGCCGACGATTTCAAAGCTATCTAATTAAAAAAACATTGTGCAATGTCATTCGAAACGTGGGACAGTACGAGCTTCGCTCAATAACTTTGATGGACAATAACGTGGGCGTGACACTATATGTACCGATAAAGTGTTTGTGTTATCTATTCCCTCATGGAGCCAAAATTTATACCCTGTCTCAAATTTTCAGAGTTATATCTTTGTTTCTATTTTATCTTTAAGCCTAGATACCAAGATCCAGGTTTTCCAGCTTTCACAGCGTCCGGTCTTCTGTCTGGCAGCGCGCAGCTGGAGAAGGCCTTGCCGACAAACGAGTTACAAGAGCTCCTCATTGCTCAGGGTTTATATGATCCAACTGCAAACCACCCACAGTTTATTGGAGGAGATTCTACTCAAACGCAGCCGCAAAAGCAAGAACAGTTTTATGTAAACGATATTACCAGACTATTAGGCCAGCAAAGCTTAAAATCGGAACAGCCGAACGTTATTCCCGACGCACAGACAAACGCTGAGGCACTGGCTGTACTGATACAAGATCAACTAAATGCAATCAATGATGAGATACAGTTAATTCAAGTAAGTGCAACTATTATTGCAGAAAAGATCTGTTGGTCAAAGCTTTGCATAAAATTTTGCGTATCCATGAAAAAACAATCACAAGGTTTAGTTTATGTTATGGTATAATAACCTAATACTGTCAACTCGCTGGACGCTCTAGTATGACCGGCAGTAGATAAATTATGTGTAGATTTTGAGGCCATTTCTAATAAGGCTGTTTTTTAATATTAAGGCAATAATGTCAAATCTTGCATGTAGATAAGACTGGATGTCAGATGCACATTTTGTCCTTAATAAAATAGGCTTATGGCGAGAACGGGCCCATTGCCTTTTTACATGACCTTCGTTGAAGACCTTGACCTTCCTTCATTGTAGTTAAACTCTTCCAATTATGCATATATGTATATGTACTTTTCAGTGTTACGGTAATTTGCATGAATTTGCTTGGTTAGAGTCCCCAGAATCCCACCAGAACCACTGGTTAACGTAATATGTTAGTTACCGGACCATCAGTAAATTGTGTGCAGCTTCCACGCAGGTTCGAATAGGTTTGCAGGTTCTCTGTATCGCTATAGAAATTACTACAGATGTCTGACCGACACTCATTCTGTTCTGTAAGTAAAACGTAATCACTTACTTTATAGAAAGCCTAACGCAGAGATCGTCATATTACGATGGTTATAGGCTTTTGGCTAAACATTGTCGTTCAGGAAACGTTTCACCAGGTTACAAATATTATCTACCTCAATTTCACACTTTGTGGCACGATAAAGATTAAAATTACTTCCCATGCCATTTTTACTGTTACAAACTAAAAGCCTTTTGATTAATTTTTGGAATAAATATGAACCAGATTCATCGTCTCCTGAAGAACAACCTAGACAAGCAACAGACGGATCGAATTGGTTCATTTCGAGCTAAAGGGATTACTGAATCATACCCGATGGCTATGATTGTTCGCTGCGAATCGCACCTCGTGGTGCGATCTCACTTGTTCTTCTATCCACAGTTGGGTCAGCCTGATTCTGTTTCTCATTAGTGTTTGGCTCTTTCACCTGCTTAGGGCAGCATTCTAATGGTCAAACTTTCAAGCAGTATATGATCAAGGAGTAAGAGCGCCGCAACTTATTTCATTCGGAAATTACAGGGCCGTTTTGCAGTGGTTGTTTAGTAATGATAACTATGCAAACAACTCCTAGGGGAAGCCGTGAGGACGCTTGAAACTCTTGTCGTTTTCAAATCTTTGTCGAATGTAGTCTTTAAATTTGTATCTGATAACTTGCAACATCTTAGTTCGTATGTCTTCACACATCACAACAGAGGGCGCATTTTCACCCCCGAGAAAATTTTGTATTCCAGCATGACGCCCAAAGAGTCAAGAAAGCCAGAATTGTAGCGAACACCGTGCCTTGAGCTTAACATATGACGCGAGAAAGTCAGAAAACGGGACTCCGAACTCGAAAATTTATTTAATTTTCTTTATACCAACAGATAATAATTGAATTGAACAACTAACTACTACCTCAGAGCTCTACGTAGGATTGTACATGCTTGAAAGATAATTCGCGAATAATTTTCAGGTGAACTTGTCACTGGTGTACTGGGTGACAACTCACAAGCAGGACACCACAAGAAAAATGGAAAACATTCAATGGACGTGTGTCTGGATTTAGTGACATTTTGAAGCACACCTATCACGAGGAAATTAGCGGAGTACACCCATTTGCCAACTACGGTCATGTTAAAAAGGAAGTAAACTGCATCTGTCATTCATGATATCCTCCAACTTTAAGTGCTGTGGGATGTCTGCCCACAGTTTAAGCTGACAAGCTGTTCAAAACGTCATCATGCACTGATCATATAGTTGTTGGAAGGGCACTGATGCCGCAGTGCTGGCTTCAGCTTTAGGGCTCTACATGTGGGCGTTTTCTCAACGTTTCCGTCATCCTTATGTTCTGCTTGAACAACAAGATGTACACATCTCGCGAACCTCACTTATTTAAAACTAAGTTTTTTGAAGGCGTTAAATACGTTTTGGGGACTTTACCTCAATTAAATCTCAAAGAATAGCAAAACAAGACGTAGGTTGTCAAAGATGTTTAGCTGACTTACAAGCAGTACTTTATGTCAAGCTAGCATTCCGTCCCAAACAACCCCTTATAAACTTCAACAACAAGAACTTCATCACGTCAATAAATCGTACCACTCCAATACAATGAGGACCAGTTTAATGGAGCACGACGCGCAGGTTTGTTTTACGAAGCTTATTGTATATCCCAATTTGAACCAGTCGTGATTGGATGGGGTACATCTTTGGGACAACCTGTGGAACTCTCAGGGGAACACACACCGCACCATATATCAATACGTAACTGCGAGCCTTAAAGGTTTAATTAGATTGTTCGCTTATCGCAAAAATGCAGCTGAACGCACATCGGAGATATTGAATCATATCCTCTCTTGGATCCACGATTACTTTGAATCCACAGTGCACTGATCCAATCATATCGGTACCAATTCTTAAAACTTGCTCATCCATTGAGTATGAATGTGATATTCATTTGTACGCTGATGCGCCGATTGAATGAAATCTTTCTGGAAGCGTCGTTATCTATATGAGACAAATAAAGGATATCCAACAGGCCTCAGCAAACATAGGTCTTAGCCAACCAGCCTGCCTGTAACAGACAAATCTAGAATCGAACCAAATGACACGGTGTAGAATATATACCAGCAGCATAAATCTGAAAGGATCAGTTGGGTATTCTCAAGCTTCAACATTCGCACCACTTTTCAAATGCACAGAACACTGAAGAGACCTCTGATTCCAACGAACGATCCCACTAATCGCAATGACGTCTCAACCGTGCCTATATGGCTGATTGCACTGACCGTGACTGTTTGCACTAGGCGAACCAGCAGACAATTGAATGTTTTAAACAACAAACACAAAATGCATTCTCCAGCCGAACCAAGAAACGCGAGTTAGTTGAACAGCTGCGGGATCGATAATATGCATATACTGCAGCAAACTCTCTACACAAATGTACTACGCTGAATTGGTGGTTTTCCATATGTCGTCATTGAAAGTGCGTTGATTTATCCGCCTTTCGGCCTGGCACAACCTCTCATACAAAGGCTCGAAAGGCCGCTCGTGACACAACAACTCAGTTTATAGTTCAGGCGTCAAACAAACACACACATGCGTACTCAATTGCCAGAATATCTCTCACACCAATTGCATTACACATGACACTATCATAACCAACTACACTTTGGATAGACATTCTGGCAGTGTTTTTTCTTTCGTTTTTTATAAAGCATACATGGAGGTCGAAAATAAATTTTGCTTAGTTTCATTTGCTATATCCGCAGTTTGTTACCGGATCTTAACCGCTGCATGATTGAACTTAAGTTATTTTATTGCAATCGAATCACAATTTCTTTGTGGAAACCCCATCTATTCAAACTGTATTTCAGTGACAACCACGTTTTATGTAAGACACAAGTTGCCTATTGACTTCCAAGTTATACTTGAGGATGTATATGCACGCGATTTGCACTCTGTGTAGAGTGCTCAGAACCGGAACAGCACAATTCTCAATCAACCCTGTATCAAGTCCGAGAAGCCGTTTTCATTCGCTTTACAATTTGCTGCGAATTTTCCGTTCATGTGCCTTTTCGTCTTTATTGTTCAATCAAAGTGAGAAAACCGTTAACACCTGTAATCACCAGAAATTCGGAATTTCCGCTTAACTTGTTTTTCCGCATCATCTTGATTTTAGAAGGAAAAGGCGGATACAGAACAGCGGGCAGAGGAATTGGCAAGTCGCGTAGAGACTTCCCAGCGTCGACTCGATGGGCATTCAACCAATTCCGGTAATCAACAATTTCAAGGAGCGCTAAATATTCTTCCAGAGAGACAAGCCGCAAACCGGACTGGAGTCGCTGGCTATGGAGATCGTGATTTACTAGATGGTCTGTTAGCTGTCAAGGACTCTGAAGGCGTTCGAAAACACGTAAGCAAAATGCATCTCATGATATGAATCATGTCTACAAAAATCGAATTCCCTGACGATCTGCCATGGTATCATAGAAATATTCGACTAATGATGCTAGTCTGTTTTGTCGCGCCTCAGCCGCTGAGAGCACTAACTTTCTTAGACAAAAGGACGTATACTTTTCACAAATAGTAATCCGGCGCCAACAAATGAACTAATACAAAAGTATAAGATTTACTCTCAACTATTCTACTAAGGATAATGCTTGTAGCTCAAGTGGCGTAGGTAGACAATAAACTGTCCATGGCGCTGCACAGCTTAACTGCAAACGTTTCCTCACCAACCAAGGTAATGTGTCATTAGATTTTATGGGATGGAGTGCAGGGTTACTTCAGTGGTTAAGCCATTCTGGGCGAACAATTCGAAAACCACACATTAAGTGTTCAGGTTGCTGAACCGGGTTGTGACCGTAATCAGTTAAGTGAAGGTGAACCTTGTAAATAATGTTCTTTTGTTCAGTGTTCAAATCACTACTGAACATCAAGATCCGCAAAAGAACTACAGAGAGACAAAACGGAGTCTAACACGAAGCTTTACATTTTGGGTTACTGACTTTCTTTTAGAACAGCGAAAGTTCACTTAAGGTTTCGAGATTTTACTGTTGGATTTGTGCGGAATTTGGCGTCGACAGTTTCTGGATCTGTCGACCAGGCTGCGCTTTTTGTCACAGACAAGACAAACCGTTCAATGGGATATGATAATTTATACACCATACACTTTACACTAACATCGGGGACCTCTGAATTAGCGTTTCTGGTGAAAGCAGAATAATCGGCAATAATTCATTACTGCACCATAGTTTCACACTTCATTCACAACCTCACATAAACTAAGTCCATAAGAATATAGCTGACAGTATTGCTAAATGAGCTGAAGTGCAAGCACCAAAGATAGGCGTCTGGAGAAATCAGTATGCAGGTGCAGCTGAAACCTGACGTAGTAGAGTTCAGTTAGTTCGATTACTTGAACTACTCACTGTCCCCTGTTTTCTTTGTTTCGTCCCTTCATAAGTAATTGTATATGCACAAGGATTTGGTACGGGGCCTACATGGGCTATCGACTTGTTGAAGCAAGACGGTACCACCCTTTTAGTAACCTTACCGAAAAGCAAAAGGCCACAGCACTTAAATCGGCATCAATTCATAACACTCGATGGCTTAGATCAACATCAGCTTGCCATAGCTCTGGAGAGAACATCCATTAAACGATCCAAACAGCTGATTTACAACATTGCTTTCCGTATAACTCACTCCGTTAACAGAGGCAAAGTGCAGTAGAATCACTCCACAGCGGCTAAATATTCCATTCCAAATTTGCCTCTACGTTTTCCACAAAATCAGTCCTCTTCCAAGATTTAATGCACATGCGTGACACATCCTAATGCATTCATTTTGCTAACAGGCATTGGGTTACAACATACTAAATAAAAACTATCAAACGTTCAAATGAATCAAATAAAAGTCTCACGAACGTCAAAAAGCGTAAAGAAAATCATTTATTCTTTCCCTTTTAAACGGATTAATTTCATAACAATTTAAAGTGATCCACCAAACTGTGTATTGAATACGGGTAAAATTATGCACTGCTGTTGAAATAACAAACATTTTGATTAAACAACCCGATAATTCTGGAAAATACGCAATTTCAACCTCTTAAACCACTAATATAGCTAATTACAGGTGAGCAAAACTATTGCAGTTTATCGCGCATTTAATCATTTGCCTGGTTTGTCCACCCACTTTACAACAGACTTTGGGCCTTGAATATTTTAGATCACACTTTCTGATATTTTGGTATGTTTTTCACGGCTTTCGGTATTTCGATTAAATCCAATATATGGTTGTGGCATATGCAATCTATGCACTGGACCTTTCCGCTCGCAGATCAGACAAACATTCCAGTAAACAATCACCGACTGTGGCCGAAAATTTGCATGCAGTTATTCGGAGGGCAAAATATTCTTTTATCCTATTTAATCCCAGTCATATTCATGTGCAAAAAGCATGCTCAAGCAGCTATACCCAGCGTAATGCAACTTGTTGACGTCTATATCCGTGATTCCGCTTGCATTTTTTGGTGTTTTGAGTTTCAGTGTTGCGTAATCTAAGTCAAGTTTTCAAATCAGTTCAGCCTTGATCATTACAGCCCGATTGAATTTTCATACTTTTGCTAGGTTAAAGTGTTTCCACCTGGTGCCAGACAATAATCCATTATGACAGTGGGCTGTAAAGGGCGAAGCCCTGTTACCCAAAGTGCAAACACTTCAACTTCCAAACGATTCTTTGCATAACAAACAACCGGTGAAAAAGGCTTGCTTCGGGCGGGCGAAATACACTCATTTTCAAACCAATTTGTCATTGACGAGCGACTCACCTGGAACCTAGTTGAATCTTTCGTTTATGATGTTCGAGTAGACGATAAGGTTGACAGTAACTCGGGAATCGCACTTACCTAATGAGTCCGAAGAACGGCAAAACCGGCCTCCGGTTGTCGAAAAGTTTTCAGCAAATTTTGAATGGTGTATTACTTTTTTCCGTGATTCGAACGGCTGGCGTTTGAATTAAGCATACGACTGACTCTCCAGCGAACAAAATACTGTTCACTTACAGTTGTGAGCGATATTGTACCTTCATGCACGGTGAAGATCCTTGGAAATGGCTCATGAAGAGCAGATATTTCGAATGATTAATAACAAATTCAACGAAATCTACTACTGTTAGACTTTCAGCTGGTGTTCAACATTTATTTCACTTTAGTTTAAGAAAAGTTTTTTCAAAACCTTTGCTTGAAGTTGCGCTCTTTACCTCTCATGATATGACGTAATGCTCCAATCTCCGTCCTTCCTTAGGTGAACTTTTTGCACAACGCTTCCAAGCAACTGTCTGTCTTACATTACACAGCAGTGAATGTCTTCTTAGTGCAAAACCACTTGCAGTTGGGGCGTGCCAAAAGAGGCTGATTTTATGATTCATCGGAGTAGTCCAATCTGTCTAATTGCAATATATGGCCGGGACACTTTATCGCATGTCGCCGTTAATATAGCAAGTCTTTTAGCCCACACGGTGGGTTTCCTACGGATAGTTATAAGCCCAATCAGGCTCCGGTGGACTTTCAGTGCCATTCACAACCTAGCCTCAATCTTCACTTTCAGGATAGACCCATTTCATAATGTCGGACTAGCAGATGACTCCCTACGCTCACATTTTCAATGAAGGACCCGCCTGGATATGACTTCACAGTTAATAATACTGTGCCTTCTTCGCCCATATTGCAGGTTAGGTGAGCGCCAGTCAATTTACAGTTATGATCAAACAGCGTACGATTGTTTTCCACAGACTCGTCCAATGATATGAGATGATCGAGACTGGAGTTCGTCAGATAATAGTTTTCATTTCATACTGTTTTCGGACGGAAAAGTGCAGTTTGTCTGATGGTGTCCAGCTACATAAAATATTGAAGAGGAAGCACGCCCACATGAGAGAGATCAACTCATGTCGATTTACGCTTGGAAGAAATGAGAAACAGGCAGGCTGTGCCAGTACTGTCCCAGGCGGTGTAGGCTGGTCAGCTTGCTCGACTTTGGGGAGAACATATCATTTGTTCTATTTGGCACATTAAGTGCTGTTTCGCCTAAACAATAGGATCTATGGGCAAACGGTAAAAAATTGCCTTGACGGTTAACTCGAATTTAGTCTCGGCCTCGTTTAATGTTACGAGGTAAAACACTATTATATACTCTATCCATCGGCCTACCCGAGTGAGTTCAGTGGACTTCAAAGTTTCCTTTTTTGTCTACCTTTGTTAGTCGTGTGCTTTAAAGCCTCAAAAGTTGGTAGGAAACCGGAAAAACGGATTCAACTCTTTGACAGATATGCTCCAAAAAGGAGCAAAGGTGACAAAAAAAGATCAAAGGAAGATACTGGCAGAATTTTTTTTCGTTCGGGACGGATCAAAGTTTGGTTTTCCCTAGTAACCGACTACGATGTGAGTTAGTTCAGGTTACCTACTTGGCACTCCGTAACTCGGTGAGGAATCATCTCAGTGGTAAACATGCAGCGAAGTACACAGTCCACTTCATTGTTTTCTTATCAAGTCAGAAGCAACACAGTTTATGTATGGACTACGTATGGATTAGGCTTTGCGGTAATAAACCCACAGCAGACCTAGTTTTTAAGGCCACACCACGAGCAAGAAATGAAATGTAGCCTCGAATTTTCAACATTTGTGTGCCATCAGTGTGTGTTTGAGTAGGACTATCTCCCCTCGCAATGACTATATCTACCCACCAGCAAATTACCGAGATCGACAGACAAACCAATCGCCAACTAACCACCACCCAGTCGAGATACCCGGGCTATCGATATTCTTACACATTGATTTCTTACAAGATCTGAGCCTAAATTGATCTTTCTGTGGTACCCTCTAACGGTTTTCCGTATGACCGGGTAAGACAAGGTAAGACAAGGTAAGACATGGTCTTTCTTGCCTAATGGCAACGGACAAGCGTGTATTACTAGGTTGCTGCTTCAGATTGAACTAGTTACAGAGTTGTGCAAGCGGCGTGATTTGTTTGTCTCGAACTACTTTTAAATTACTTAACACTACTTTTGCTCATTTGCATTGATCAGCCCCAACACAATTCCTGCCACATGAAATTTGCAAAACCAAATTCACTGAATTCGATACCTGTAGTTTATCTACACACAGGTTGCACTTTTTTTCACAAGCTGTTGACTTTTCAAACCTGTGGTTTCATAGTGATGAGTAGGAAAACGTTACATTTCGTGAGACCTACAGCATGAAAATAAGTACCACAGAACCACACTTTTCGATGTTTGCAGACTTTAAAGCCTATGCAAGAAATAGCTACGAACGGAAATTATGGTTCTCATAAAGATGATTTTTTATGACAAAGAAAACGGTTCCTGCAATTCGTGGCAGACAGCAAAGTAGTTGCACAAATCGCGCTTCACAAGTGATCGATTTAACTCATCCATGCCATAAAAAGAAAACCTGTTAAACGGAACGCTCAATAAATGATATCAAGACAGCGAAGTTTTTGTTGCACGAACACAGTTTATTTCGCCCGGAAGTAAAAATATGCTAATAGCACTGCACATAATCTCAGTCATCAACAGGAAAATATAAATTCAGGCAAATATCGTGCAACCACCTTCCAGAACAAGTGTTTCATCGCCAGATGTATGGAGAGTTAAAATACTGAAAATTTCTGTCTTCCATTGAATTAGGATTCAATCAACATCCTGCTGATAAAACCATTAGCAAAATCTGTATATTTTCCCACAATCGATGACGTCTGGTGGATGGAATGAAATGGGAGCATTGGTTTGAACTCATTCCCTCCGTTTGCACGCTGCTTAGCTTTTTCCTGTGGACAAGGTATACTTCTTGTACTTCTGTTCGGCTTACAAAGAGCTTAATACGTGTATAGATCCACTTCGGATATACTTGATTCTCTGATTAATTTGCTTGCCTTTTTCTGTTCTAGTATTTTTCTACATCCCAATCACCAAACGTAAGCATGGAGGGTGCGACATCAGATCAATTTCGTGCTGGATATATGAATGATGTGACTCCTTATTCCGCCACGCATCGGCAACCTTCTGCCACTGGTTCATTGGGACGTGATTACGGAACGAAACATATGGAGACAAATATACAGGGACGAAGTACTTACGCTCGAACCATTCCGAGGCCAGAGTCAGAAGTAGTCACGAATCAACGCCAGTTTACACCTGGAACGTATGTATTAAGTGAAAACTTTCATGTTGCGAAAATGAGTCCTAGGGGAGACAGGGATTTTAAACCTGTCGAAATTACACGATTATTTAGTGAAGCAACACTGCAACAAGGTAGCTGTCATGTTTTTGTCATAAAAACAAAGGGTACAAAGGGAAAAGCGGTAAGATTTTGCCTACACCAGACCACGAAAAGACCGTTATTAAACACGTTGGATGATCTAATCAGTTTAATGTCTCAGTTTGAAGCGTAACAAGCACAAGATGGAAGATCTGGTAGAACACTAAAGTGCATATAGTCATGGTAGGGCTATTGTCACCAGCAAACTGCTCTTTGTGCAACTTCGCAAACCAAATCCAGCCTACGCGTGGTCCTTGGAACAAAGGGTGAAAATGAGGGCTGAATTTTATTTTAGCCATTTTCTCCAGAATTATTTCTGAATCTGCAGAAAACTAAGTGCAGAGACAGCACAGCACAGAGGGATGGTATGTGCTCAGTTTTGTGCTTTAGCGCAGGTTGAACTTGCTGCTCCCAGGATCAGTGATCGTGTGACTGCCGGCATCTTGTGACCTAATACATATTCAAGTTGAACCTTTTTTAAATCTCCCCAGTAGACTGCTGATAAGCGTCAGTGAGTTATATTTTGACCAGGCCATCATTTTATCCTCGAATGTCACATTTTGAATAAAGCGAAATCTTGCTGAAATAACTGTTATGTAACTTGCAGGTTTTCCATCCTTTGTAAGGAAACCGTTTGGATAAACTTACGCATTTCTTTGTAATATATTGCTCATAAGGTTGCTTACAATCCGTCGACAGCCCACGACCGGTTTCGCCCTTCTCGAGAATCATCAGGTAGGCGAACTTTCACGAGTTTCCGTCAACCTTATGTTCTACTTGAAACCGAATTGCGCGAAGTTAGCGAATATACACTCATTTGCAAACTAATTTGGTTTTTCGAGAGACTCACCTGGAACCCAGCTGAGTCTCTCGTTTGTGGTGTTTGCAAATGAGTGTATATTCGCTAATTTCATGCAGTTTGGTTTCAAGTAGAACAACAGGTTGCGCCTACCTGATGAGCCTCAAAAAGAGCGAAACGGGTCGTGGGCTGTCGACGGATTTTAAGCAAGCTTATGAGTAGTAAATTACACAAACATACATGTATCGCGATATCTCGAATATCGTAGCGAGTGAAACATGAGGCGGCCTGCTGCAGCACATTCAGCTGCCTGAGAGATTCAGCTGGGTTCCAGGTGAGTCTCTCGAAAGACCAAATTAGTTTGCAAATGGGTTTTTATTCGCAAACTTACGCATTCTCTATAGATCAAGTTCATTTGCTCGCATCTCCCACAATATCAAGTCTCGTTTGTGCTGCGTTTGATCATGTTGGCTGGCATGGGTTCTAGTTTCGCATTGCCACTCAACTACTTCACGACGAGCTTAATTATATGTGATCAAAGTTTCGCGCGACAAAATATCTTTTTAATAAAGAAGGATAAATATGCGTCCAAGTTTGTTTGTGTCGCTGTGAATTGATAATAAACACATTCCCCAGACAGACATTTCAGACATTCGATCGGCTAAGATTGACAGATATCCAAAATTCTGTTCACTTCTACCCTTGTGTCTGAAGAGATAATTTATACAATAATCCAAAGCAATAGGAAATTTTTATGTCTTGTCCCCTTTTATTCAGACTTCACAGCATCTCTTTTTGGATTGCTGAGATCTGCAACTAAATGATTAGTGCTTGTGTTTAAATGGTTAGACTGACTGAATCCGAATGATATCAGCAAGCAAGAAGGTTGCTGAAGTTTATAGTTGATTCTGAAGAAGCGATCTGTAGATTTTACATTCAGTTGGTTAAACTCGCCGTTCAAATAAACTTAGAAATAGCGGTTAATTTTAAAGGCTGATTGCTGACCTAAATTTCAGCTTCTCTTTGCTGGTTTTCCTGAGATCTTCTGAATAGTTCCCAATAGAGCTGCTCATAAATCAGTCTGTTGTTATAGCAAAATCTAATGCCTGCTGGTGAGAGTTGCAAAAAAGCTTACAAATAAATGATTATCCGTTACGACACGTTTGCCTATTTCGGATTTCAGACAGCATCCCAAATGCCTGATAATCAATAACCCAATCAGAAGCTGGCTACAAAACAATGCTGATTTGCAGTTTATCACCACACCGTCATGCTGGAAGCTTCGTTCATAAGCCGATCAGCCTACCGAACTTAAGTTTACATTCCTTAAATGTGGCCGCCATCAAAAAGGCCACCAAGAAACATCAACACTTTCTTTCCCCTTTCTCCTTCTCAAAGAAAACTACGTGAAACACGAATTTACCATGCGAAGCATTCATATTTTGTAGTTAGCTCAGTCGAAATACTTGGTACGGACATTTGCTATTTCCCTTTTGACCAATCATCGTGAAAATATAGCCCTGCATCCATAGTGTGTTAGTTGCTCTCTCCCTGCCGGTCGAAACCGAGACTGGCCGAACAGAAGAAGGCCTTAGGTCATTCCGTAGACAGTATGAAAGTCGACATTTGATACTCCCCTTGCTATAAACGCCCGTTAATTTGTGAACAATGCGCGTTTTGAAGATCGCACCAAACTATGATTCTTTTCCGATTTGACATACAAACAAGCAGAATGCTAATACTGACTCTTTACATCGGGTTGCCATTAGCCACTGATGAACATTGCGAATTCCTGGAAGTTTTCCAAGCGCCATGATGGGAACGACATAAGACGACATAAGACATAAGTACAAGTCCAGCTAACAATAAAGGTAGTGTACGCAGTCTGTTTTTCTGGTACATCGCGTCACACAAGTACACGGTAACCAATAAATATCATCTACAGTTGGTTGAATTCAGGTTGACTTCATGACATCTGCGATGAAATAGGAAGGAGGGAAAAACTGGGTCAACGCATCAGAAAGCCCAAAGAATCGAGTCAATTTAGTGAATCAAAGTAGTTTGCAGAATAAGTTGAACTCAGAAATGGGATTTGTTTCCGTTGGACATGGACGGTTTCCGGTTCCTCATTTCAGGCGACATTAGTAAAAACCGTGCACAACTCGGTCAGTTTGTGTGTGATTTTGAAGGTGTTCTGCCTAACTTCGACTCGATATTGTGCAGTTGTAACTAATATAGATTTCTTCAAGTAGCCAGTCGGGTATATCCACTGTTTCCGTAACCTTTAGGATGTGTTGCCAGCTACTTTCACGCTGATGAGCACATACAGAGCCTTGCCGGCTGCTTTCTAAATGAAAAGTGAGATTGAACCTGGATATGGCAGTCAACCATTTACTCAAGGCCAGTGGAATGTTCCAGTGATCAGGAAACTAGTTCAATGAACTGGCCCCCTTTGAGTACACATTGTTCCTCACCTTGCGCTTCTGAGTTGTCCTTTTGTCAGCTACAGAGGTTTAAGTGTGATGGTGGCTCTGGGAAAATGTCTCCAAAAACTTGAGTTCCTTTCATACAAGTAATTCATTTGATTCTCTACCTCACCAATCATTATTTCTTCATACATCTGGTAACAAATCCACTAAACTGCATACATGTTTTCCGCCAGCAAGGTCTGTGGTGCATTTTACAACAGTCGCAACCAGAGTACAAGGACTGTTTGCTGCCATTTCTGTTATCACAATCTTTGGTTAGTTTGCCTTATTTTCTGTCACGGTGTCGAACATCAATAGAGGGGTAGCCAGTGGTGAAGCACACCAACAAAACACTGGTTTTATATCTTCCAAGAATGACAGTCATATTTTGCTCCGAATGCGCTGATTGCTTAGCATAATTCCATCTGAAGCTCGATGCAAAACTCGTCATCAACTAATACCAGGGATTATCCATCTGAAGGGAGCCTTTGTACAGCGACGGGTACGCCACAGACATACCGTAGACTGTGCATCATATATAGTTCCGCCCTACCAACCAGCTTGAGCAGTATAACAGGCTATCTGTTGCTGGTTCATAAGTGCTAACAAGACTGTTGAAACTTAAGTAGTGTACACTTACTGATGGTCCAATATATCTTTTTTCTAAATTGTGCTCCTCTCGGCCAGTTATTGATTTTATCCAAAAATTATACTACCCAAAGTGTGTAAAAACCAAGATGGGATAGGAATACATTCTATAGCTGATTTTCATTGCTACCACTCATGCAGGAGTCAACTACTTGTTTGGACCAGGTGGCTGATACAGTGCCGAGTATCAGTTTAAATTTCTTGATAGAATCTCTCCAAAAAAGAACACCATTGTTCAGTTTCAAAATTTCAAAGCTTCAAGCTAGTTCAAAAGATATATCCAGTTTTTCGCTCTAAAAACTGACTTTGGTTTTTGACTACGATTGCTTGCAACGATTGCTTGAAGTTCGGAAGCATCGATGAGTTATGGGTAGCTGCAGAATATGTAGAATGTAGAACACATCACTCTCATTCGAATATTCGTCCTGCTGTCCCGACGCAATCATCAGGAAGTATCGTGGCTTCAGATATGTAATGATACGTTGAAACGTCCACCACGTTTGGAATATGCTGGGAACGGTGACGGTCATTTGTTGTCGGATAAGTGCAATAAACTTTTCAGCCAATCGTATGTTTCTCGGAAAAATGAATGTTTGCTGGATTATTACAGGTTATTCAGAAACGCGAATGTTTAGCCATTATACCAAACTGTAGATATATGTCTCGGAAACAAGAAAGCTAATCATTTGTCCCCCAAGGTTACTTCCATCACTTGAGGGAACTGCCTTTAAGGAAAAAAATATGCGATGATCTGATTTGCGTTGCTTTTGCGAGGAATCTCTCCTTCTAGCAATTATCCGGCGGCGGACTGATATCAACATATCCTATTAAATGACTAATAAAAAGAAGAAACCCTCAAAAACTAATGAATTCACTGTATTATTTCAGGTTTCTGGAGGCTCCTTTTCACGATAGACTAAACGTTGTATCATCACATTCAAATCTACCTCCGGTGGAAGCCACTCATCAACTCAGTGAGAAATACTCCATTACCGAAAAAGAGGGGGCATACAAAAGGCCCATTTTTGGACAATCGGGAAAATTGCCTCAGAAAGGTACGACCAGTGTTGGACTCCAGCCTGTTTCAGGACAGCCCCTGTATTCGTCAACCCAAATATTCCAACCGGAAGACTGGACCGGCGGCTCTTTTGGTTTACCCGTTCAGGGCCCTCAAGTGGCACCAGCGGACCAACAGCTCTATTACACGAAACAACTGGAAGGCCAGGCGGTGTCGAGAGAACAACCGGGTGCCCTAATACCATCATCGAGATTACAGTGGCAAAATGAAACTGCACCTATACAAACAGGTTATCTGCGTTCTGCCAGTGGTCAAGGGCGTGGAACTCATCCGAGCCCTGCTTATTATACTCATCATCATCTCCAAGACATGCCCTCAAGATACAGTCCTCGCCCCCTTTCACAACATCATTTGGGAGCAGAGCCAACAAATGTAGCAAGCCTACCCAGGCCGGCCTCGGCTGCTGCAAGGCCCGACTATGCGCAGAACAGTCTGGTCCCAAGTTTGGGAAAGACTGAATATCCGTTTTTCTCGCCACCGATCTCCCAGAAACCAGGTAATTCAGTTTTACGATTAAGCCCGCGATAAGAAAAGCTTTTCTGGGCTGTGAGTGAGAGACTAAGTTATTTGCCCAGAGGTGACACATTTTTAAACGTTTCTTACTTTGAAGGCGTGTGACGCGCTGTTTGCTTAATTTACGAGTGGCCTGCCGGTTTATCTGTAGCTGTGACTGTCAAGATAGAAACTTTTGGATCATAAAAACGGACAGCTGATACGAAGTTGTCAGACGTAAAGACAGTCTGGTTCTTTCTATTTGACTAAACGAATATGAAAATACAAAAGTGCGCATATTTAAAATTTTGGAGGTCATATTGTTTCTTCTCTGCTTACACTTCTAGTTGCGATCTCCACACACTAATGACTAATTGATACTTCGCATTTGGCGGGCGTTTTGTTTAGTAAGTGTCTGGGAATATTGTTTGTGTCCTTAGTGAAACACAAATTAAATTTTCAAATTACCAAAGCTTTCAGTACACAAGATTTGTTTGTTTGTGTCGACCATTTTCACAAAACAGCAACAATCATTCATCACAGATAAGTGCATATAAAAGTTTGAAGACTACCAGATGACAGGTCCACGGGGTACTGGCCTAGCGCAATCCATAGACGCCTGCATACTTTCAGTCTGCTCTACCAAGTCGTCTGTTAGGATAATGTGCAGCTTCAGCATCTCCCGGCTACCCATGCGACGAGTCAAACGTATATACTGTCACCAATTCTTTCCTCAAAATTCAGCTCTTTCCTTGGAAAGGCTACGACACAGGGAGCAAGTTTCTGCGAGCCGAATTTATCGTAATCATATGCCAACTATGCATTTAATAACATATACAGATGTAAAGGCGTATACAGCTGATGAGGTATGCAAGTAGTATGCGGTCGTGTCGAAGCTCCGCTTGCATCTAGTGTAAGGTGGAATTTCTTGCGGAACTTGTAGAACTGCTTTGCATTGTTCGTTTACACTGGTGTAATACTCATTGAGTATCCATGGAAGTTTAAGAAGACGCATGAGAATGCTCAGTTATCAATAACTATATGCATACGACATTTACTTTCCTCTACGATAGATTGTAGCTGCTTATTTTGTGTTTGCTAACAGACGGCTTCGCAGCGAACGGTTCTCCTCCATTCATCGATAGATCTGTTCTAATAAACCGACTTGACTCCTTATGCCCAAACAGGGAAAGGATTATTACCAACAATTATCATTGATTGCTAAATTACACCACAAATATAATGGTTAAATCATCCACTTTGAAAACAAACGTGGAAGCAAATAGTTTTGTTTCCATGCAAATCTTTTAGAACAAGGATTACGTAGAGTTATTGGATTTGTGTCCAGATGGGGAAACAAATTTCGCAAATAAAAATGGAAATAACAACCGCAATTATCATCGGATACACAGTAAGAATTTTCAGATTCTACCCAAAGCATTTTTACTCTGTAGCAATGTGTTCGAGTGCTGCTCAGAGAGCTGAACACTATGGGTGCTTGGACTGCTGTGGAGGTCAGGCTTTCCGCTCACTAGCAATGCTGACCTTTATCAGCTACGTACGGTGTCTCCTTAAAGAACGAGTGTTGCGAAGCATGCGCAAGGTTAAATTACAAATCTGTGAGGAATTAGTTGTCCCTACCACTTAAACTGGACTTCGGTAGGTGCACTGTCCATTTATATGTATGTTTCTTACCTCACATTTTTAAGTTAATGATTTTTGGATCCACGGTTTCTTTATCAGGCAGCATATAGTGCTTTCAAATTCAAGGCCATTCAATCATCATTTTGCTTCTGTCAGAGTAGTTGTCCATTCATTTTAATGACACCTAGTTCTTGTGTCAGATACAATTTTATATTACCAGGAATTCCTCGGAATCCTGTTCCGCGCCTCCTAGCAGCACTCGTGCATGATATCCCAAAAGTAACACCAGCAATCCCTGAGAGATGAGGACTACACGATATTCTAATTTAAGCCAGATTACACCAGACCTTGATAAACTAACTTCGCTGGGTCTTTCCAAATCCCACAGAAATTAATATAATGGATACGTCGAAAATAAATTGACCGCCACTGTTCGGTAAATGCATGAAACCATAACAAGATTGAGTGTAACACCGGTACTTTTGATAAGTGGGAAATAATTCTGTTGAGAGTTCGGTAACAACGCCTACCTGATGGATCATAAGATGGAAAACCAAAATCGGGTTGTCGATTAACTTTCGGCAACATTTGGTTACCTTCGTTTTAGCAAAAAGTTGTAAAGTTTTTTGATCCACTCATCAAGCTGAATCCCCACACTTTAATACCCAAAACTTCTACATCTTCGTGTCCGTTGTAACTTAATTTTTAATTTCGCAAAAATGCAAACTCAAGGTATATTATACTGTTTTCACGCAGGTCTTGTGTCACGTGCCAGTGAAACCTACGCGCACCGGCTTGATCGAGCAACAGGAGTTCAGCGGTATAAGTCCAAGTGAGATGATAAACGTTTTGCAAGCGTTTGGTACATAAACCAAAATTAAACTTTCTTGCCGTTCAGGCTCACTAGTATCATGCGATCAACCGTTGTACCAGCTCGGTAGCAATCATTTTGCGTCATATGAAACTTTGTTATGACACTTATGCTTTATATACGCGTCCAGTCTATAGCACCAAAGTTAAGGTGCGGCAAAGAAAGCTCTTTGGGATGATTTGAAACTAACACATGCTTTAAGCTCGGGGCTTGCAGTGAGAATTTTAGAACCTGTTTCAGCGTAGGAACGTCGACCGAGCAATGGTTGCTTAAACTATACGAGCGGCCGTATTATACGGTTGGAGAAATAAAAATTTCTTATTATGCAGTACTATCAGATTGCATTCTGAATGCGACTACATTTGACATGATGATGAATTAAGATGAATAAGTCGTATAAAAAGGCTATCGTACTCTGAACTCGGTGTTAAACCTTGAAGGATTTGGTCTGTAGTTGTGGTTTGAAAAATGTTTTTTGTCTTTCTTGGGATACACGAGGATGAGAAGTAGTACACTAATCTGAACTTCCCGCACTAAAGGAGCCTAAGACATTCCATTTCATCAGTAGATTTTCACAATAGGTTTTTCAGAAAACAACTTAGATTCGGCCTTTTGATAGTCCGAATTCAACACGGTAAAAAAATATCACAGGTTCTACTGAGTCACGTTCAACTTGCCAATGAAGGATTTTGGTAGATTCCGTAGAAGTTCACTCGCGTACATGGTTTTGTACCGGACACACTACAAATGGCTTTATCTTTTTGATTCACATTTCTTGCACGTACTCCTATTCCAGTAAAGCTTGCTATTTGATACCGACTTTGATGACTAGGTATTCGTCAAATATATAATCGTCGTTCTGCTTAATTTCCTCCGTGTTGAACAGCAAAGAACTGCTGGAGGATGCAATTCAGTCACAACTTCCATTCACATCATGGCCGAGTGAAACACTGGTAGCCTGGCTGGAGGTGAGACGTCTTTTTAGATTAAGTTTTTATTCATCTTGTACCAGTTGCGATTCCATGACTTAAATGCCTGAAATTCTAACGGTTACGTTCACACCAATGTCTCCTACATCAGCCAAAGAAGTTTTTCACACGTCGTGTCTTAACTTCTGCAATTTTAACAATGATGTTCATATGCATTCTCGTCAACGGTTACACAGGTTCGCTGAAAGATACGTAAATGCAAAACCGATACCTTGCCCTATGCGCTAACCTTTATTCAAGAATAATGTTTGCATGGGGTTTTGTCTAAGGGCGGTTGAGTAAAACATTAAGTGTATTTCTGTACCACAGCCAATGCTCGTGTGCCAACAGAAATTTATCTGGGCTTCTTTAAATTATATAGAACTTTCGTATTTTTTTAAGTTGGAGACCAAACCCCCCGTAGTAACCTAGGATTACTGTTGAAAAAAAGTTATCCTAATAACCCTAGTACAAACTCTTAGCTGGACACTCGCCAAAAGTGAAATCCTTGGAGCAGCCTCTGACCTAATAAGACAGTTCATTTGCTCGTGACGCGTGAGCCAGATAAACCGAGCCATATATTTTGATTTTAATTCACTTTGAATGTAAGTGGATTCATCGAAATACCCTCAACCACAAAACCTCTTTACCCATCTCAGTTGATCTTTGAAAAACTGAAATTGTCACACACCTTTTACGTGTACTTAGATCCAACCAACTTCTTGTGTTTATAAAGTCGCTTTCAACCATCGATTAAGCTGGGAAGTTGTTAGAGGTTTTCAAGTTGTGTTCGGTAGACATGATTACAAGATTGTTCAGCAAATCGCATGCCTCTATGTCTGGTACCACTTTGAGCAACAAGAGTGCCTCTTCAGGAGGAACACAATTCACGTATAGTTTCACATAAAACAATTTGTTCGAAAAAGTTGTCATTCAGTACCAGAAGAAAGAACGTTAATTTGATAGTTTCTAACTAAATCATTTAAAATTTAATCACAGATTGGACGTCTAACAAAATTGCTCGTGAGCATCGGAAACAACTTTATTTAGGAGAAAAGCGAAATCTAAAGGCTCTGTGGAAATGCTCTGGGAAATCGCCATTATTAGCTCAGAGTTTTACTGTCAGTAATCCACAACTAACTGAGCGATCTCATCCTACTTAGGCTTTGAAATTTCGCTGAAGTCGACCAGATGATGTTTACTCGTTTTTTAGTTCGAGAAGGCCGCATTCGTATATACGTCAACACTATCTAAGCCCTAAGTTAAAGATGTTTTTCTAAGTGTGCCTTTGTAACTGCAGTCAGGGAAACAATCTTCATACCTGACGATTTTATGCACATCGTAAATAATCCGTAAAATGGTGCTGTTTTTAAGGCATTTGGCCAACCAAGGTTTACTAACATTTAGTGAAAAGTGCGTTCTCATAAACACTTTTTGAACCCGAACATACATTCGGGGCACAAGAAGACGCTAGGTGACCTAAAAGGTATTCACCGGTCCCTAATCATTCAGTAATTGCTGAAAAACTAACAGTTTATCACATGACGATACCATTTAACCGGCTTCCCATGTGAGCATCGGTGCTTGTGCAACCGGTTTACAACACAAAATGCAGATAGTCAAACTCTTTTGTCAGTGACTTCTTTATGGGTCAAAGCTCTGATTCTGATAGATGACGGTATATACGTAAGCGTCCCTGGGAACAAAAAAACACCGTATTAACTTGATATCTTTCGTATATTGAATGCACCAAAAACGAACAAGTAGTGGAAGTTGTTCTAACTCAACCTACCACCAGTACTGTTAAATGGTCTCACACTAAGTTATGGTGGCGTGGCACATCAGTTCTTCGACATTCAAGCGCTTGCGGTTAGAAAAAATAAACTTAAATATAGTCGGAACGGAATAGGACTAATTCACAGTGTAGGCAAGATCTTCTGTGTGATGGGGTGAACAAAAATAGCCAAAAAATTTTCACAACAATTCAAAATTTTTTGTAACCCTTACAACCAGAGGATATTTCAAGCTCCCTGCGACTCGCTGATGTTTGCACAAAAACATTAAATCGGCTGTTAACCAAGCTGAGGCAACGATATGAGGGATAGGATGTTCCATTCACCCATAAGTTTACATCAATATCAACAGTGTCGATCAAACACTCACCAGGGATATCCAATGAAGCCGTGACAGTTTCATTTGGTCTATCGCAATGCTCGATATTTCGTGATACAGACAAAAAATTCTGTATAACCTTGATTATTGAAAGGTGTTTGGTCAACGTCACTTTTACACGTAATAACAAACGCCAAACAATCACAGCTAGGCAGACAGCAGTGTTTTATTCAATGAGCTCATGTTATTCTATTACAAATACGAGATGCATAACACGCCAAAATTTAGTCTGCAATTTCTTATGAACAAAACCAAAAAGATTTCGAGTACCAAACATTTACCATCCGCGGTGGATCAACCTTTTATTGTATGGGAATTTTTAATGTGAAAATACGCAATTACAAACCAAGTTGCTATTTTATTACATTGTACACATATCCGATCTGTTTGCGGATCTGTAAGAGGAGGTAGATCTAACGGTAAAATTTGTGTCGCTTGGGTTCGATAAACAAAATATCCATATTCCTTTAGGTCATTTTTTTAAATCTATGACTACGTATATAAGTTCCATTGTTGATCACCAGTGATGACTTTGAAGCATAAAACGGAAGACCCTTTTCCTAGAAGATTTTTGCTATGAAAGAAAATTGCTTCCGGGAAAGTCGGCATATACAACACTACTTCTAATTAGATGAGTCGACAATAACCGCTGAAAAATGGCTACTCGCGTTCACAAAGCATTGCATAGTTGCACGGTCTAAAAAGGCGACTCGGCAAACGTCTCTAAATTTGACTGTAATAAGCTAGTCCCAAAATGACTGCCTCACATGTAAGGCATAACTACTGCGCAATGAAAAAAAGCTTGATAGAAGGGAAATACATAGCTTGAATAATTTCCTCAGTTTATCGCCAGTCCTGCTTGGCTTTATTCACGAGAAGTAATTTTACTGAATACGGTGAACAACATCTTTCAGCAACCGGTTTTCACCTACTCAGATTGATCTATTTATTAGAAATGCGGTGTCGGCAACAGATTAGCAATAAATATACCCTCAAGACACTCATAAGTAGAGTATACATTTTATAACAAAAAAGGAGAAATGCTTAAGGGCACAGTCTTTGTACCAAAAAAGCCTTCATTGTGTCAGTAAATAAAAAAACTCAGCATTAATCTGCAGTTCCGGAATTCTTCTTAAACTAATGCTTTATCCTTGGCAAATAGCAGAGAAGTGCCATTAGTTTTATTCCTCCACTGTGAAAGCGTTCAATACATCCTACATTTTAAACATTCTACCTTTTTACTCCTCCAAAGGTGGACGTGTTAGTGAGCAATGTGGCTATAATAATCTCAAACAAAATATTAACATTATTCTCTAGAAAATCAGGACATTTCTGGTGATCTTGATCCCTCGGAAATAAGTTGTAGTATGGAAATTGTGAACATGACACCAACTATCTGATCGTCATTAGCATTCCTATTTGCATTTAAGATGATGCATAAACACAAATGCGTTTTGTCCAGTCTGACGGAACGTCTCGGCGTGCTGCCGGACGACTATTCAATGGGCAAGTTTAGAACCCCATGCTTGACTTTCAGATAGATAATTCTAGTGTGGGATGACGAGATTTTCTATTCTTTATGCAGCCTCTATTCAATAATTTTGAACAGCCATGGTGTACACCATATCAAAATCGCCGTTATTCCTTAATGAGCGTAACCCACCCACTAAAATATATTAGTACTCAACATGTAGCTTATCAAGGCCTACCGCTTGGCTATTAACTTTTATAGTAACTTATACTAAAAAACTTCTACTTAACCTCCCATAAATTTGAATAAAGTAGACGTTTGTTAAATACCTAAACCATCTTACTCTAAAAGTATTGAAGGTTGCGTCGGTAATTCATTATATGTTAGGGTGTGGTGGCTTTAGTGATTAGGTATTCCAGTCAAAAGTCTAAATTTGACGTAAATAGGATTCGCAGTTATTCAGATATTTATGTTGGTACAATTCCGATATACAAACATTGTGAAGAAGAGTATTCAGCAACGTTGTTAGTAGTTTCCTTTATGAAAACATTGTGATACTTTTCCCTATTTTGTTATTTCAGCGATGGGTTGGTATGCCAGCTTGGTATGTGGCTGCATGTAGAGCCAACATCAAATCCGGAGCAATCCTGGCGTCGTTGTCGGACCAAGATACCCAGCGTGAGCTCGGCATCAGCAATCCACTACATCGACTAAAGCTGCGGTTGGCAGTGCAGGAAATGCTTGCATTCACTGCATCCCTTGCCAACCCCAGCAGAGCGTCTAATATGGACGCTGCCTCTAGGACACTCTCGCGTATTCACCTCGCGTCTCCCTTGATTCAGGTGAGAAATAGAATTAGACAGGTTCTTCTAGCCATCACGTGCCTTATTGGCAAAGTCAGTCATTCGCCATATTAAGTTATTAAGTTATTTTAACCTGGAGAATCTAAGCTTTCGCGTTAGACTTAACTTAGCAATGTGTCAACGTCTTCCATTCTCAGTAGTGGCAGCATTAAAGCTCAAGAACCAGTCAAATGGCTTCAATCATCTCTACCTTAGTAGCTGTCAAACTGCAAATTCGAATACAATTTTTCATCTATCTTTTTACTCCTTGTGCGTTTTTCACCATTAGCGTCGCACACCCAAGATAGTTGACCTAATCCGTTTAGCTTACTTGGTTTATCCAGAATTATTCGATTGAGGAAAAGCATCATAAACCCAGTAGATGAATGCAGCACCAAATCAAAAATCATTTACTTAGAGTAATAATGTGCAAAATATGATGGAAAAATCTACACAAAAATTTGCACACAGAACCAAAATAGCATTTATTTATGGTCACTTATGACGCCGAAAGCATGGGTGAAGTGGCTACGATACTGCATAGACAAATGATCTCGCCTACTACTCTCGCTGTATTGTCACAATATCAATATTCTATGTATAAATTTCTGTGATAAATGTTGCGACGGGACTCGAGTATGCATTTTCAGACACCGACATCTGAGTTGCATGAGTATGCTCAGTATAACGAACCATTATGATTCTTCGTCATACAGGAAGACTCACAGAGAACAAAATAGGCTAGAACGTAATGTTACAGTTTTCAAGATAGTGACCTGGAATCCGATAGCGTGGCCACAAACCTGTTGAAGTATCGCACATCATTACCTAAATAAAACGATAACATGCTGCGGATTGTACTCCTAAAGAGTTATGGGCATTACAGCACCTGCCGCATACATAAAGAACAGTCTGGAATCGAGCTGCAGAGTGCATAGAGGGCACGAACATATCAACCGGACTGTTTGTGGTTCGTGTCCAACACCTGCATATTGTCTGCTTGTCTAGGCTTCAGTAAACTTGTGGTATCCCATCTCTGATTTTGTCCTAAAATGGCATGCTAGTTAGGCATTGAATAGGTGTTACAAAGGAATTATTATTAGTTTTTATTAGTTTTACTGCTCGTTCTGCTTACAAAACACTACTCAGTATTTTTAATCCCCAAGATTGTCAACTTTGCTGTCTCCATTAATCTGACTGATAACACTACTTGCCAATTACCCCGACTTAAAATTGACTTGGTATCCATACTAACTGAATTCACCTAGAAGACTCTTCAGCTCTAGAGCAAACGCAATCAACATCGCTTGCGTATATCTCTATAAGTGTAGAGGATTTTAGGCATTTATTTATCTTTTGTAGCCAGTTACAGATGACTCAGCAACTAATATAGTATGCTTCATATAATCCCTTTTAAACCATCAAAATTTCTCCTCTCTGTGAACAATACTAGCACAATGTGGGTATGTCTAGAAAGACATACAAAGTTAGTATCCACGCAAAGGATGTAAGATAGAAAAAACTATCCCTTTTCTTCTATCTGAGTTTTCATTTGTAACTTTCCCATGGCTTCTCAACAATAACCAGAATTCAGGAATGCATTTATTAGACTAATAGACGACTGATAATAATGCATATCTGGCCAGCAGTTCTTTAAAATTTGAAGCATTACGCTTACGGCGTTTGAAGGTGTACAAAACTACTCATACTCGTTTAAACACAGATAGCGTATAAAATGGCAGTCTTTGCTTGCAGTTGTATTGTAGGCTATCTTTTTCCATTGCCGACGAGACATACGTAGTCTTCTCACCAGACAATCTATATCGGCGAAAATTACCTGATTTAGATACAGTATTGAAATAACGGATTGCCTGACGAAAAATCATGAACATCGGGTGATTTGTTTGACCACACAGTGGTCACGTCATTCCCTGGATACTGAGGGACCGTGCATGAGGTTGTGTTAACCCTGCTTGCTATGTAGATGTTGCACACCAGAACATGGGTCGGAATAAAAGGAGAAAGACGTGTCACAGTATCGGAAGTTGTATATTCGATGTACAGTACATTTGTGGATGTCGGTTTGCTCAATACACGGATGTCCTTTCGGCCCTTATTGCCTTGAATGATCAGTTCACGGAAGTGGTAATGTTATGGAGAATACTCAAAGTCAGCACGTCAGCCTACCAGAGAATTTAACAAAATTCTACGGGGATTACTAGGTTTTTATCAAGATTGGTGGTTTGTATATCCCGGTTTAAAATACCGAGTTTGTCCATATGGACAATGTACCCTTACGCGATCACAAAACGCGCAGGCCGCACACTTTGCTCACTCCAGAAGTATCCGCTAATCTTGTTGTATTTAATTAAACACCAGTATTTACAGGTTACAACTAGCACACCACAACTGCCGCCTCAACTGAATGGCAGTAATAATTGAGAAAAAACACGAGATTATACTTTTTCAGAGTTCTTTTGATTCAGCATCTATTTGTGTCCAATTTATATCCCTTTACTTTTCCTCATTAAAATAAGATGGTTGCTCCTCCTTTTTACCGCTCATTTTGGACGTGCTAAACTCGTGAAACCCGTTGTTACTGGATCCGCTTACCAACTGATTCGCTTTTTGTACAATTTCTTACTGCAGAAATATCTTTTAAGTTGTTCAAACATATTGTCTTGTACATTTTCCGTGATCCGTTCGAGATTTAGTACGTTGTGGCAAACGATATAATGTATTGGATATAAAAGATATTGATTAGTTTGAAAATGTGAATATAAAAACTGAATTAGCCTAAAGCTCTTGAGAAACCTCGAAGCTTTCAAAATTGTTTCCCAAGTAGTCGGGGAAACGTACTGATAAAACGTTCTGATTGTACACCATAACTAAAACACCCGAATATAGCCCAAATCTGTGGATACAAAGTCAGTAAAATATGTATCCTTGTGTACCCTATATGTCATTCTTTTTTGCCGTTGTATCATGCGTCACTCTACTAAATCAGTTTATACCTAATGCATCAATGTCTCTCTTTCAGGATATGCGTTTACGGCGCACGACCCTGGTCCCAAAAACTGACTTTTTAACACAACTTTAGAGTAGTGAGCGGCTCAATAAATAATGACACCAAGCGGATTACTCCTCGGTATAAAACGCCTAGTATCGTCTCAGTGGTAGAAATCCCACCACTTACTCCACACATCCGTTTAACAGTCCATCGGTTGAGACCGTTTATTCGAATTATATTGTGTCTCACCAGAGTACTACATGACAAAATAGCACCAGGTGTCAAATCTGACTACTTGGTGGCCTAATAATAATAAATTATCGTTGCTCATTAGGATAGTGTCATTAGCTAGGCAGAAGCTATCCCTGATGTTGGTGAAATGTATTTTTTTAGGTCGGAGAATGATTCAAAAATCGCCTGTTATCTTTTATCCAAGTATTATCACCCGGCAACTTTCCTTATCCGTGGGGCAGAATACATAATGTGAGCGCATTTTCTCAGTTTGCATACTTTTAGTCCGTTGTTGACCCAGTGTGTTAGCCAAAAGGGTGGAACGACGGGTTTGAATTTGGTGAGGCTTACTGACGTTGCCTTTTAAAAAGTCATCCTCGTTTCAGGTGGACATTTTCCGTATTAGGAGTTCCTGACACACGACCACATTTTTCCTCAGCAGGGAACATCACTTTCGTTTCTCTCCACATCCGTTTAATAAGTTCCCGACGCTGTCAATGTGCACTGCATAATCAGTGAAGTTATTGGATAGTCTTACGATATGAGGCTGACAAACATATGTCCCATTTTTGGCCCGTTTGGTTCCGTTTGGCCCCGACTTACCTCAATTTAGTCTTTAACGAGTCGATTCTTGCATAACTTTCTTGGTTTAGTATGATGCAGCCAAGGAATTGTAGTAAATTGTTAACAGAAATGGCACAACACAAAGTTGTGCACATTTGTTACGTGTAGCTAAATGAATATCTTGCTTTCGTCAGACTCTTAATGTAGACATTCAGTGATATTTAGCCATTGCGACTCCCGTTTGATATCACGTCAGGCAAGCGAGACTTAATCAAGCAGAAAAGTTTTCAGCCCAGGAAGTCTTAAAGCAACGCAGGTATAATGTTTCGACAAGCATCCAAACAAATCTGCTATCGACCCGAATTTAATTTCACTCTTGAATAATTTCCAAGTTGGTGTTGAAGTCTGTCGGATTTGAGTACGTTCTTAAAGATTTCTGACATTAAACTCACCAAAAATCTAGAACAATAACCAGCTAGGTCTGAATAGGTTTTCTGCCTTCAAAATACTGAAAATGCACATCAAGAACTGAACTGTGGGTCGAATTATTTGCCCTGGTCATAACAACAAATCCCTCATGATCAACACGTTTTGTTGTGCATTATGCTAGGCTCTTTTACTAGAATTATATTGCTCATAGGCTATATAAGCACATGTGGAGAGTCTTTGTTACAGGTCTAAAGCTTTTTACAATTATGAATCGCGATAAATTATCATAGCCATTTCGTAGAGGCTCTTTGGAATCAGAAAGACCAGAAGCTGTCACTCACCGCGGTGATATACCCCAGTTAGTTGTCCACTGTTACTGGAAATTTGCTAGGCTAGTCATGAGCCACAACGCCACAAAATTCGGAACCTCACAGCATTTTATAGGTTTGCTCGTTGCAACTACTTGGTTGAAATTCGTCATTTTGCTACTGATAACACTGGTGCACTTACTTGTGAAGAATATTTTAACATGCTGCGCTAGACGTCACTGATGGCTACAGGCGACACAAAACTCTACCCACAGGAATTAACCCGAAAGGTAATGAACAAAAGAGGTATACGTACAACAGAGGCGCAAGCAAACGACCGGCAAACGCAACAAAATGACCAAACGGAAAAGCGCGGCAAAATTCGCTTCAAAGGAACAGATGAGTCGTATAGGCACAGCTAATGGGAGAGCAACGTGACAACAAAATGTTATAGCGTGCCTGATTCCGCCTTCCGTGGCTAAAAGAGTTAAAACAAAATAATAGTCGATTGTCAAACCACTAAACCCAACTTAGCTTGATAACACGCTGATTCAACCGGCCATTTATTAGTAATTCAGTAGAAACGCTCTATCACACTCTATAGGGGCGAAAAGTGGTTGCTGCAGTAGCATATGCAACAGCTTATTGGTAATGTTTCCTCACAAGTGCCTAAATAAAACTGAGCCAGAAAATCAGCATTAAGCAATACTTGAAATAAAGGTAATTTAAAGGTATATGTAGCAAAACCTTTCATATTTTCAGCACGTGCTTTTAGATTTCAATTTGTGGTTAAAGAGTCGCATGTGCTTGAAAATTCACCCATCATGAAAATTCGGTTTCTAATGCTTGTGTGCAGTGCATATGTCAGTAATATTTCTTAAAACTTTTACACGGAATCTTAACTAGCAAGTTCATCATGGCGTGTTTTTGCTACTTAACCAGGAAAGCATGTGGCAGATTCCTAAACGAGCCCACCAAAAGGGATAATATTTAGTTGACACACGACCGGGGTGCAGTTACTGGAGCCAATGCCAAGAATAACAAGCGGATTTTGTGCATTTGAAAGAATTTCAGGACCAAGAATGATTACACAAAGTAGCGCCCAACTCAGATCGCAGTTTGAAAGACTGCTACAAAGGAAACAATCTCCCTAGCAAGTATATCCAGAGAAAAGCTTTTGTGCAACTGAAGTATAGAAGGTTAAAGAACTATATTTAGCTAGAATTTATGGCCTCGTATGACTGTTTGCATAAGCTCACCCAGTTTACCAGAATAAAACTATGGGATGTGCTCCTGACCGTCAACACTATCCCTCGTTTGTGTTACTTTGCATTCACCTACACAGTACCATATGTTAAACCCAGAACGCGATATTTGCCTGACAGAACAGCCGGACTCTAACCTTTGCTGAAAAAGAGAAATTGTGGATGTGACATCAAAAATGAGATTTAGCTTTGATTTCTGTGTCAGAATTTGCTAGACAAATTTTTAAACCCAAAGTATGTTTGAGAGAACCAATATTAGTAAGCCCACGTGATGTTTTGCTGATTCTCAACGTTTTCTGCATGGAAAATCATCATTGGACATCTGGCGTAAATGTGTTGGGGAGTCACTTTTTAAATTAGGCTGCGTTGAGTTAAATCCCACACGAATTTCTGCCTTCATTGGATCTGATTTGTTTTCTAACTATGCCCTAACTATTGAAGCAGAATCGTTGCTACGCAACCGTTTGCAACTACGTCAGCTGTACGCTCCTGATGCACTTTTGAGAGGAATCGATCACTACCCTTTTTTCAGAATCAAACACTTTTGTCCGTTCAAATTGGGATATAAAAATACTTACGGCGAAAGCGCATCACGGGATGGACCGGATAAATTTCACTCGTGTAACAATTAGTTTACTTAACGGGGGTTGTCCAAAACCACTGCCGTTTTGTAGTCCAACCAACTAAATTCTTCATCCCATTTTCAAGCTTTTACCTGTGGAACGACAGGGAATCATGGTGAATTGTTGTAAATAATGCTCGAAACTATAGAGGACGTCTGCCACAACCTATCAGATGTTAGCTCTTTTCGAAAACATCTCATTCTGGGAAAAAAGTACATAGCAAGCACGGTTTCTATACATGGTAATTTTCATAATAACGTGATAAAAGTGGCACATGATTTCACTTTACAACATACTAGTAACCTGAGAAAGTGTCCTTTGTCATCTGTTTTTGTTCGGGCAATTTAAGTGGTTGAGAAATTCAGGTTTTTAAAAACGCATGTTTATCAGCAATTTAAAGAACCCGAGTTTAATTATCCAATTATTTTTCACCTAACAAGTCTTTAAAATGGGAATTCTAAGGAGACATAGTACAAAAGTCCGATCTTCATGAAAAGGATTAAACATCATCGATCAAATAGAAAACGAAATCGAGTTTGAAAAATTGATTGGGATCAGAAGCTTCAGTAAGCACCTTAATAATAAACTTAATAATAATAAACTTTCTTTCCATAGAAAGCAAATTTTCAAAACGTTCGAAGTATTGTCTGGAACATGATATCGTAATTCAGCTGTCGTCGTATTCGGTGAAGAATGAATGGTGTTCTTCTAAAGGTATTTAGTGCAGTAGTTATTTAATACCCCCAAATACCGAATGCTTATCTACCTTTTTCGTGTACTGTGAACTTTAGCTAGAATAAAATGAGAAGACGCGAAAGAATGTGTACCTGTTAAGATGGAACATTGTAGCATAACAAAAAATCCATCCACTTGTTGATAATAATATAAATCATGTCTGTTTGTTAAACCCCTATTTCTATCTCCAATATATTAACCTTGTGTTACGTACGTTGTCTAGAGTGGTTTGAGAACGAAAAAACTCGGGCCTATTACGAAATGTTATGGCTTATTGATATTAGCATCAAACTTCAACGTAAAGGCCGGTTTGTCCGTAAAGTAGAAATGGGAATAGTCATTGTAGGCCTTGAAATGCGGTATTTAAGCATGAAAAAACACCCCTAGGACCTAAACGAATTTTTAACTTCCTGGCTACCGGACCGCCACTCTATGGAGCGAGTTATCTGGGAAACCACGTCTATGGGCTAGAACTCCATAAGTGGTTCACCCAACCCTGATCATTGGATTGACAGCTGATGTTTGACACTGCCATCTATGTGTCCAAATCAGCTCTGCAATGAATTGCTCAAACTAATGAGCGAGTTTGGCATATATGTATGTGGTAAATGCAAGTAAAAAGGCACACGCTAAAGGTAGAGCTTGATGTCTCTCTTCTACTCATGGAACTGTATGTGTGAAAATCAAAATACATCCCTGTATAGCTGCTGTAATTTTTTTCTAAACATAATGCTCCAACGCTTAGCTTGTTAACCGGAACCACTATTCTCAAGACAACATTTTTCAAGGTTTAGGTGATACCCTTATATGGGATATGATCACTGGGTATTTAATGGAGGGGCTTTCAAGATTGGAATATAAACGTCGAATGTATTCGTCTGAGATTGACTGAACCAGAGACAACTAAATAGTCTTACTTATCTATCTGGATCAATTTCTGTCCGGACACGCGTTGGTTAATAGCAAATGCATCTTTGCTTGCCCCTATCGCAGGGTGAACTTAACCACGAATGGATAGGAAATGTATGGTTACCCAGTCTGGGCTTAGCTCAATATCGACCGGCGTTTATGGAATGTCTGGTAGATGCGCGCATGCTAAGTCATTTGACAAAGCGTGACCTTCGGACACATCTGAAAATGGTCGATCAGTTTCATCGAATCAGCTTGTATTATGGCATAATGTGTCTGAAAAGGCTGGATTACAATCGAACAGAGTTGGAACGTCGACGCGAAGCATGTGCCACAGTGGATTCCGGTAAGTTGACTTTCGGTGCGTTCGATTACTGTTTGCTCTCAACAGCCACTTTTTTTATGATACATGATGGGCAAAATATCCAGCGTCCACCAGTCGCTTCAGTTTTGGTTAGAAAACCTGCCATTCTTCAGGAAACATCTTCAGATTTTCACAAGCGAAACTAATAGCAAACAAACTTATTGATGTTTTCTCTTTATCTCAGGTGTGTATGTGTTTGCACATGGATAGTGCTCACTTTACGTAAGAACACTAAAGCCGCTTTTGGCGGTTAGCTTGCGTTCTTCTACCATACTGCAGATAGGAATTATGCCTCCGGTAGGGTCAAGAAGAGAGCTCTGTTGGTGTGGATTTACAAGGTTTATGTGAAACTGAAGTTTACAATGTATCCACACATACATAACTCTTCTTGACCAGTGAAACCACAATAAACGGGAAGTGAGCTATGATTTATTTCGTAAACAACAAATTGTGGCGTACTGGTTATTGCCTAATTAATGTCTTGGATAGCAAAATCTGAGAGGCTGCAAACATGGAGCTACAGGTTACACAGTGTATCCAAATGCGGCAAAGCAACAACTATGAAATCATCCACTGAACGGATTCGAGGGCGCTGGAATGAACTGCGTTAGGACGCCGATGTTTTTGATCTTTCTTGATATATCTTTTTTTCGCACATTGAAATCTATTTGGACCGTTCTTTAGCATAGCAGTACTTAGAAATTGCTGTGACTTGTTTCATATTGACATCTGTATCCGATCACCCACTATGCCTGCGTGGTGATCATCAGTCAACAGACTTAAGCTTAATTTGGCACCTTGCCGTGGGAATTCCGGATTGATCAAAGAAAAGTCATCAGCACATTGGGGAACGATCGATGATCATGTGGCTGGAGGGTCAATTATGCAATTTAAGATCAATAATGAGGTTTGAAAACGCTCCTGAAAAATCCAAAAGGTTAAAAGTCTAGAGTTAAATCAAATGGGATCCAAATTTTGCTCCGTGGATCAAATCAGACACTTGTCATCATTTTGCGTGAGCGGATAGATTTTTTTTTAAATGACAAGTAGAATGCACGACCGGAAGCCTCAGAAACTTAGAGGAAATGGCTGAGGAAATCATTCCGGGAAAATAAGCATACATAAAACCGTGAAACCATGATTGTCAGACAAAGTCCTTCTAGTAGAAGGGTACATTGCGTTCCGAATAAAAGTAGACCGAACGGTCCACGTTATTCAAATTCTGTTGATTCGTAACACATGCAAGGGTGTGTATGATCAACATGTGATCTATCTTGTCGCTTCAATAGAACTCTTCATTTGGCCGACGAAATGACTTTTACCTCATAAAAGAATTCATGTATTCTTACCATTCACAACTTGATTAGCATACTAGACTGACATTTCGCCACGGATGCGGGAATGTGACGTAGAAATCCCGGAATCTTGAAAACCTTGTCTTGAATTTTGGCAGAATATCCCCGACTTTGTCTACACTATTGAGTTGTAAACCACGGGTAATTTTGGTAAAAAGGGTTGTGGAAAATTTTAAAGGGATCCATTGAGATCCATTAAAATCGTTAAATGCATCTGAATGGTTGCATGGAAGGGTGTTTTTCGAACAGTATGTGGGATCAACAGCTTCCGGATCAAAGTTTAGCACCACATGGTCAATTCACAAAACAAGATCTTACATATTAGGAAGTTGCCATGCTTCAGTTCTAAATACAGTAAAGAACTTTGCTGACTAAGTGAGTGAATGGTTAAGTGAATCACCGCCATTGATGATCCCCCGTTAGTCGGACTGAAAGATCTTACCACTCCTCTGAAATGGGGGACACTGGATTATTCAACAAAGAAGCCTATTACCTTTAGGTTTGACGGCGCGGTGTCTGTGGAATGTATGCACTAAACAGATATTTTGATTAGATAGGGACACTGATCAACATTAATTCAGCGATTCCGGGAAATGTCATGGGCCACTTTGACATCAGCCAATAGGTTAGAGCTGACTACACTAGAGACAGACATTTCTTCGCTCAAAAAATCGTGCTAAACCCCTTCTGTCAGGCAACAGATGAAAAACTGCTTTTCCGGTACTACTGCACTATTCTTAGTCCAATCTGCCAATTCTCATTGAGACTGTTGGGTTGAGTTAGTGTGTTTTCGGTAAAGAAGTCCATATATGCACATGCATAACTTGTTGGATAGCCCAGGTTTGGAACAGAGAACCTTGTTAACTGGAGCATGAGGTGGCCACGTAATGTGTTTTAGGTTCAACAGAGACTGATGAGTTGTTTCATTTTGTCTCGGGGGTACGACATTAGTTTTTAGGGACCTCTTATCAAAACGGATTTCAATGAACAAATAAGGATTTTAAACGAGTTTTGGGTTGCTCTTTTTTGATAGGGCAGTATATTGTTTACAGAATGACACTTGAAATATTTGGCTCTTCAGCAACGGTAACGCCTAGAATCTAGTGTTAAATCAATAGAAGAATGGAATATATTGCAAAAGACAACAGTATTTAATACACTTTCATAACTGTGGCTGTCGTTGATAATAGCTAATATGATGAATAGTGACACTTTGCCCATTGGCAGTAGTTGCTATTAGACAGCCTAAAATGGAGAATTGGTCAAGGGCCATCAATTTAAGGCTTTAGAGATCGTTTTTGATACGTAGTCCTGGGAAATAGAGTTATTCCTCATCATGTTAGGGTAAATTAGATGAATTCTCAGAAATGGCTTGGTGGAATCGATCACTTAGCTGACAGTCAAGAAGCTGCGTCACTGCATACCGTCACGTCACCTCAGTTACATACTGCGGCATTCCCTGTACCTAGTGAGACGAGGCCAACATGTGAAGAATATCACTGCAGTGCGTTTCTGCAACTCAAGGTACTCTTTAAAAGAGTAAAATTCTGTCCCCGTGGCTGTCAGAGAAATCGCCTCGTTTCAATTTTCATTTGGTGGATTAAAGACTCATCTCTGGTGACTTGCCCGCTCTCTTTGCAAAAGCTTACGAGATGATGATTTGTCTGCAATTAAGTGTTGTCCTAAGTTGTACAGCTAGTGCAAATAAGAGTTCAGTCCCGGGCAATGAAGAAACCCCCGTCTCTGATTGTCTGATACTCAAACCATGGTAAAACTCCATGACATGGTTTTGTTTTACGCAATTTTGGTTATTACCATACTAGTACCGTGTACATTGGTCAATATTGAGAGTGACGTAAGAGGGATCCACATAGGCACAAACTATTGGAGCTAAAACTGTAGCATTCACAAAGTAACTCAACTAGATAGCTCATTAGTTTGGGTTGATTATTTGGAGCGAGAGAGTGCTTACTAAAATTTAGAATATCCGTGGAAGTGGCAGCGTTCCTTTTTGTTCACTCCTCTTGTTTGCCGTTAAATTAATTTGCTTCTAGTCTTGAAAAGTACCGGAACTAGCAACTACAATTTCGCCCTGGGATATATAAATATATATAATGAGTCTATGGGAGAACGTAGAAGAGTAGAGAAAGTGAGAAACCCATTTTTATATAAATTTGTCTTTCGAAATGATCTTAGTTGCCAAATATAACCCTCAATTTCCGTCATGTTCAATTAGCTTATCCACCCATGACTGTTATCAACCGTTTGTTCTATCCCTAAAAGATGTCCTGGTATGGTCCAATGAGCGCGTCATGAAATGGTTGAAAAGCATTGGGCTTCAGGACTACGCCGACAATTTAATTGATTCAGGTGTGCATGGGGCGCTCATGGTACTCGATCCGGATTTTACCGCCTCCTCCCTGGCAATGTTCCTTCAGCTTGCTAGCACAGACATACATCTAAGGTAAGACTTTTGACTTACTGCATTTTTTGATTACCTTCATATCCATGAGAACTCGGCCGCAATGGAACTGAGGAAGGACGAAATTAAGGAGACTTGGAATGCCTTCTGGCTCTGAAAAAGGGACAAATCAACTGTAAAATAGACTCCCTTTCTCACTTTTCATTTGCACGACCAAGCTTGAACATAAAAGGCGACTTTCTACACCGTTTGGGAACACAAAGTTGGATAAGTAAGCAAGCTCGCTGCGCATGCATAACGTCTGTAAACTCCGTTGGAGATACTGATAACTGCCTGCCGCTCGAGCACAAGATTTAATAAGTAAGGATTTTAATACAGCGTTCAATATCTCAAGTTGTGAGAAGTTTCACGATTTGTGGAATTCCCACGTAGTCTAACATAGCAAACCCGTGTCCTGTCCAGTCTAACCCCCACCAAGTTGGCCGACATATTCTACAACCTCGTGAATCCATCTGACAATGATATATTGAGGGGCACGCATGACATTGTCAGTACTGCTGTCCAATCGTTTTTAGGGACATTTAGTTAGCCACTCAAGCCGCCCAAGTGCAAAAGTGCTTGGTATTACGCATAACAGAGGTGCATTTTGTTGTGCATAAAGTATATTAATGGTAGAGTGGTGGTGATACCTATACCAGATGTTCCCGAATTAAACATCGACGAGGCGAAAGATGTGTTGTTGATGAGCTTTGACAAGAGTAAAATACTGGTCAGGTGCCAACTCCTTCTAGTATGGACTATCTTGAGCAATACTGCGCGTCGTCACAAAGTGAAAGTGTGTCCTATTATAAATTATATTTTCATGTGACGTGAATGAAAGGGAAGAAAACGTTAACCGGTTGATTATGTATGAATGTTACTGTGTACAGAATAACCATTCACGAGCTCCTTTGTATGGGGTCTTCAAAGATGAGGCTAGATATTGCACATCAATAGCAAATTCAAGTCCCTAGATGCTATTGTAAAACGATATAGCAACATTATTGACGCTGAAGACAACTTTCAAGGCACTTCCGTATTAAGGATTTTGTTAAACTTCTCATCCCACAATTAACTTATCTGTTTTCCAAACCAATTGCATCTTGTCAGGATAAATCAAATCAATCTATTGAGAAATATTTGAATAGATGTCTAGTCATATTTTAGACGAAATTCACTTTGATCTTTTGTTTTAAATTAAAACTTGCTTAGATCATGGTTTATCAGAATTCTGGCAGAAAGAGCTGTAGGGAATATTTCACCCTAAATACAGCAAATCTTCATCGTTTTCGTTTAGTGGAAAATCCTTACTTTCTGGTCACAAAACGGAACCAACTTCCCAAATCATTTGTCTTTAAGGGGGCTTAATTCACTAAGATTAGATGTCACTCTATTCCCTGAATGTCCGATTTTCATTTGCTTGTGCCCCTAATCGCCAGAGTGACTGAGAATAAATATGCCACAGAAATGGAGTCAGTTGAGTGAAAGGAGATTAGTGGTGAGCTGTTTTTAGCTATATTACCGTGCCAAGCAGCTCTTTAGTGAAGGTGCTCTTATGGTACGAGCTTTCTCTTCTATTTGTGTGGAACAAAGTTCAGGGAATGGGAAGCATTGCAAACTAGTGGAGAGCACTGGGTTCGCTGGACTGATTTTTTGTCAGACAATGGAAAAACTCAATTGAGTTTGGATCGCTTTGTTTACCTTCCTTGAACCTACAGGTTTATATAGGACAAAAAATTAAATTAAAATGGCAAATTTGAGTCAAAACGGCGAAATGAAAGTGTAAGTTGACTGGAAATTAGGCTTAAATTAAACTCTGTTTTTAACCGAATTCTTCTACGTAGACAGGATAGTAGGACATGACAACTTCTATGGTGGTTCAAAATAAAGCCACACAGCCTAGGAATAGTTGGTTATAATGACCTCAGATGAAGTATGTCAAATATATTTCACATTGGTCATTTCCTTGTGAACTTGAAAGCAGGTCCACAGGTGGTGACTATGCAAAAATGATAGTCAGGTAGGATGGGGAAGAATTCACGATACACCAATGGGTTTTAGGAACTCAGAAGTTGCTTGTTTTTGCAAACCATCTGGGGCTACCCGTTTGTCCAAACATAGATTTATGAACATCATATGACGACAAAAGTCGAGAATAACACTTAACAGGCTCCTCTTACGAGTTAAGCCCAATAAGATTACGGTTTGTCTTTTTAAAAATACCTGGATCTTTTCCTGTCTTTTTTTAAGCTTAGTAGAAGACGTAAGTAGAACTGCTGCTATTTTGCACCATTTCGACCACAGACCATCATCATGCAATTACCCCAGTTTTTTCATGCTTTGCATTTACAGAGAACTATTAGAAAGGCAATTAAATATTATCCTTGAACCCTATCGAGCCTCAGTAACCAGACAGCCAGGAAGCAGACCAGCACAGCCGTCAGCTGACAACGCAGGAGCAGTTTGTATGAGTACTGCTCAGAATCCAGCTCAAAACCTCTACTATAGTCATTCTGAGAAACCTTCCTCTGGATTAACAAACCAGGACTGGCTTTCCAGAATAGATATGGATCAAAATACTCATGGTTCTTACACTGCTGTAGATACTCATGCTCCGCCTATCCCTGCACGCAGCAAAGATAGCACCCGGGATTGGAGTCTATCCCGATCACGTGACGCTGAAAGTGCATCGAAGGTGGTCGGTACCAGCTACTTTACAGCTACCTCCATTCCGAGCAACCGGTAGTTGCAATGACCAACGAACGAAATGTGCAACTTGGATAACTTGATACCCGCCCAATTAGGTGAGGTTTATCTAGTGTATGCTATGTGTTGTAGTGCTATGTATCCTGCACGACGATTTCTAAGTTTGAATAGATACATTCTGCTTGGGATTTTAGGACTAAACCATTTCTATTTCCAAATCTAAGTTTTGAGAGTTTACTGCCTTGTATTTCATGGACATACGTGCTTTTTGGCCCTTCTTGCGTAGATCTGGGAAACGTAAGTTTCTATTAGGTGAACATTGTAACGAGTTGTGATAAATTTAGTTCCTTTATAAGCAAGTTTACTTAATATTGTCACCATCCTCCAGTTACTCGATAATGTGAACTTTAGAACACTTTGGATTACCACTTTTGAAAAAAACTTAACTAATCTCTTCCTCTTAAAACAGCATTTAACAAGAACCAACGATTAACATTTTAATAACTCCAACTCAGGATTTTATCTGATTGACAGTTGCGTTTTGTTAGGTACACATCCGCACGTTTAAAAACTCAGTGGAATATGATGGATCACATCTTTTGATTTTCTGGTCAGCAGACTGAATGACGCTTGTCCAAACATTTCACCCAGAAGTTTTTAAATGCGTAGCACCTAGTTCACCCAGTTTTTGTCTGACAGCATTGCCACATTTCGAAGAGATCCAGTCAATTTACGGCCTGCTTACACCCACTGGTATGGTTTTCTTCTTGTAGTCAGACACTCTGGATACCCCAGTCATCAAATATCTAAGACCGGGGCTTTAATTTTAATTTTTTCTAATGTTTTTCTCAAGAATATTCAATACTGTTGCAACTTCATTAGCTAAAAATTCCTTCTCAGTTGTTGAATTGTTCGATAACTTTATCCGCCTTGAAATGATATGAAGCTGCTTCGACCCATCATCCAAAATTTGGTTACTCTTGAATTATGTATATCATATGTTTGCTCTATTTTAGCATTTTGACTGCATTTCGTCAGGGACCCAATTTACAGCCCTACCGGGAAGGTCGGTTTCCCCGACGAAGTTCAATGTAAATCAAAGGGAACAAGGACTTCAACCTTCCGTGTAGATGTGCAGCGAACGTCCGGATGGCTATGATATACCGAATTGCAATGTATAGGTTTAAAAATACTTCTGTGATCAGTACATTTATATAAACTTTTCATACTGAAACAAACCGCAAGAGCCATAGATCCAAAGTATGACAGGCATCTCCAAGCAAATGTCAGATTTATCCTTATGCGAAAATACAAAACAAGTATACACAAGCATTTTCCATGAGACTCAGTTATTCTTGTTTTTTTCTGCTGCCACACTCTTATTGTGGCAAGTTTAACCGTCTTCTTTTGTTTATCTTCCTTTCGAAACAATCGACCTCATTACGTGCTTCACTTATAATCATTCCTGTCCTCTTGAAATTTTCTATACAGAATATTTATTCCCATACAAAAAAGGGTGTTTTACCAGTAGAAAGATTGCACAGGAATCAAATGACAAACCCTCAAAAGTTTTTTTCAAAACAGAACACGCCGTAGCCTCCATCACTTACATCCCGTGATCTCACCCGATCGGAATTATAGCTTGTGTAGCATGCTTGAAGCTTATGCACTGGCTGCATGAAAAATATTCCTAAATTTGGCGTTTTGCGCTGCTTTTGCATGATTCATCTATATAATTTAGACAACAGTTGGTACTTCATTGGACGTCATTGGATGCCGCAAATAAGCTAATCTTGTGAGTCCCACAGAACGCAGATTGAAACCCTAATTCGTCGCCGAAATTCTGCAGTGGAATTTTTCGTTTCTAAATATCGGCCCAAGGAAAGTTGACTTAAACATCACAGCTACTGACTGTTGCCGACATCAGATCCCCGTAGCTCTTTTTCATCGCAGAAATAAGTGATAGATGTTCCCAACTAACAACATTTCATTCGTTTAAGAACGCTACTGAAGCGATTTTCACTATGATTAGTCAGCGTATTTTCAGGTAAGTTGAGAAATTCAACAGACATTTTACGTTAGGTGCGAGAATTAAAGTACAAAGTGGAACTGCACATGAACTTGACTCGCACTTCCATTTGTCAAATGCTTTGTCTCCTGAGCACGGGGAATTTAGTCATTTATCGTGCCTGGTGTCCTTGGCTGATTCATTTGCCCAACTGTATGGACGGACTGTATGGACATCCGACATTCATATTTAGATTGCAGAGATTCAGCAAATTCTCACACTCTCAGGTATGTTGTTATCACCATCACTTTTGGACGTTGCAGGGATACAAACTGCTCGTCACACTTTACAAACTCTGTCGCTCCCCCCGGAATTACTTCAAGTAAGCTCGGTAGAATAGCTCTGGTTGAATAATCAGGCGCTCCAATAGTTATGCCATGCGAATGTTAGTGCAAAGACAAGTGTTGAGCTCATGAATCTCACGTGCTTCTCAGCCCTATTATAACGGAATTTTGGTGCACACGGCATGCTACCAGATCGTTTGCATAAGAAATGAAGAAGCTGACATTGTTTTCTTGAAGCTAAACGTGACACAAGTCAATTTACAGATATAAACTCTACGAGGGTGAGGGGAGGATATCAAATTCACCGACAACCTAATCGTCATAGCCAGCTAGTGAGTTTAAGTCTGAATGGAATTTTGGTAGTTTTATTTGAATATTCGTTTACACTGGCGAGCACCGACGAACTTCCGATTCGATCGTAGGGTAAATCATATATGATCCGATTCGTTGACAGCACGGCAGCAATGCATCAACGAAGCCGAAACAGCGTTTGAAAAAGCGTGGTTCTTTTGGCATGACTTTTGGGGGGTATGTTGCAGCCTCACAAGTATCTTACTTACACAGAACTATCGAAATGGACCGAATTTACAAGCGCATCGAATTTTCCCATATTTTTCAAGGATTTGGAGCACCACCGTTTTCGACTGTCTTTTGATCAGAACGGAGGCATTGAAGTCAGCTATAATTACATTTCACGGACATTGCAACAACCAAGCAAATCCCGTAGAGTACAACATATTCGAAAACTCTGAAAGAGTGAAAATGAATGACTCCAAAAGTATTCTTCTCCAAACGAATTTGTTCCTAGTTTAATAGTTTACTGCAGAAACAGAGGCTGCGATGCTTCTGTGCTGATAGTTGAAAAACTTTCGTCGGCGACCTATGGCAAGAAATCTTCGGTCTGATTTGTGTCAGCAGCTGTTCCTGTTTTTGGATTCAACCTGTATTGAAATTAGAAGCCTCCATGGACAAGTTTGCCATGTTTTCCAGATTTCAAACCTTTAGAAACTGCATACAAGTGGTTATGTTTGACTCGATCTAAACGAAAGAGCATTTTGTCAGCGTCAGCATTTCTACATCTTTTACTAGCTTAGAAAAATACGGTCACAAGAGGTACTGTGGAACGCGTTTCCACTGTCTAGGATTAAAATTGGTAGTGGAATACTTTCTACTCTGTAGTCATTTCTCACCGGTGGGTGGCTCCAGTGCGGCTTGTGATTAGTAACTGGGCCAGGTGAGGAATTGCCGGAAGCTTTTGTTTACAAGATGTTTTACTTGCTGTGTCACATTGGGCAATTTTACTTGTTGCATGAACTTTGACAAAATCCGTGACCTCCGGCTGCGAAGAATCTATTCGACAGGAAACCCGGAATCAGTGTTTTCTCACACACATGATTCACGATTCTTCCAGCAACTCAACCTGACAGAAGGCCATCTGAAAAAGAATTTCAGATGAAGTTTTCAGATGACTGACTACAGTCAGCCCATTTGGATTATAGCAAATCTTTTCGCCTTGAACCCGGCTGATGCGCAACTTATAACGGGGTGTAATGAATGCTATAGCACGGATGTCCCCAAAAATATTGCACGTTTTACGATCTGAATAAGATGACCCTTGGAAACTGATTGTAATCCTTGCCACATCGCGTCATCGACGCCGCTGAAAATGATGGTCCAAATGAGTTTACTTCGTATGATTGGATTCAGGCCTCGTTTGAATCACATAAATCAAGAAAAACTCCACATAAATATTAACTGACCGTTAGTTGGGGCATCATCATCTTCAACCAGTCACAAACATCCTACTATAATGAACGTTTTGCACTCCTACCTTAGGTTCATTCCTAATTATCCTTCCGTTGCAAGCCTACTTTTCTCTGATCAGTGGGGCTCGACCTTCTTTCTGTCGAATAAACGTAAGGGGACGGAGGCGCTCCCTAAAAGGTTACTGAAAACTCCGCCGCAGCTCCGTTTCACACTTCTTGGGGTTCGTCAGGTTGTATTGGCTTTACCATCTCCGACTGTATCTGCAGGCGACTGTACTTCACCAATTATGCACAATTTAGTGTTCACATGGCATGCGCATGGTTGAAACTCTGGGACTGCACCGAACTAATGAGCCCCTTTGGGAGTGAAACCGGCAGTGGGCTAACAAATGTGGTGCTCTGCTTAGCAATATGCCAAATATCATGTCAAATGAAATATGGTGCGGACTCCAGGTGGGACACTCAGTTTATTAGCTTTACAAAGGAGATATTCAGACGCACTCTAGTTCAGTCTCCTGTTAACAATATAGTTTTCGGCAAAGAAGTTCACTTCAGCTAAATTCAAGGAAATTCACAAACCGTGAAATAAAATTCTGGTTTCCGACAATTTTTCCCGAAATTTTGCCCGGTTTTATGACAGATTCATCATTCATTTGAAGAGGCAGTTTTAAATCGAGACATCTATCTCATCCTGTGTCTCATGCCGGCTTATAATTGCTAAACTTGGAGGTTCATAAATACTGGGATGTGCTAAATGTGTTTGCTGGCAGGAAGAACTCTTGGAATCCCTTCGGCTTTAATTTGCTGCTAACAGTGGTCATTATATATTAGGACCAACTTTCAACGGGAGTAGTTTGCTTGAAGAATTCTCGGCTGAAATGACGCAGCTGTAAAACAATACATCTTGTCTACAAGTAGGTTCTAGATTTTAATTAAATGTGACGATTTTGCACAGGGTTTTGCATTAGCATCTGAGCTGAAATTTGCGGCCAAGTGTTCAGTAACTGCGTCGTTGATGATTTTCCCATTATTGTAGTCAAAAGCATGCAGAACTTTTATGGTTCGACATTCTTACCTTTCAATCAAAAGTAAACCTTGTCAACGGGACTGAAATTTCCGGAAATATTCATTCCAAAGGAAAAAAACTGAACAAACTTAGACGTTTTGTCCATTCTGAACGACTAAAACGCCGGCTAGCTAAAATGGTAACTTTTCTAAATAGATTTTTGCGTAGTGCTCGAAAACATTCTCCGATATATGGCAAACCACCTTGGTGAACAGGGAAGTTAAATATAAACTCTTACAAAACCTATTGAATTCCCAATGAAGCCTAGCAGCGCCTTTATTTGGATATTAATAAACATTTCAGGTGTTACACATTGGGGTAAATGACTCTTGTTTAAAATAGCCAAGGATATTTCTACTGGCAAACCGCACAGTGACTTCACTGTGATTCCTGAGGAACGTCGGTACGGCAGAAATGTTTCCATCGTACTCATAAGTAACAGCGACACACCCAATGTTACCCAGTGGTTCTACAGTTAAGGGTCAGATTGTATGGGATAATAAAGAACATTTTCACACTCAGTTCGTCCGCATTCAGCGGATTCGGTTGAAAAATTATCCTCGACTTTGAAAAAACGCAGCTACTGTCTACCTCCTCATAAATTACGATGCATTCGACAGTGGTGTACAACTCGTTACTTCAGTATTGTACGCGCGCATCCTACCAGACGACTTTTTGTTCCACAGTGGTCCGATTTGGTACTGTGAGGGGAGGATATCAATTATCCTTGTTTCAAACTGTTCGTTGTTCATTTGGGCAAATGTCGCTGCATAGGTTCCTTAGAGTGTACTTTTATACATGAGACAGGCCTAACAAATTAATGAATACGAATTATCCTACTTCAGGCCGTACTGCAACCGGAAAAATCTCTTGAGCAGGTACTGATCTAATTTGGGCTGCATACGTATGCGGATTTCTTAACGTCACAATCTCTATACTATATTACGCTGTATGAGCTTCGTGCTCGAATTTACCTTTTAATCTGCCCGTTTGGTTTTTTGTGCCAGTTATAGGAAACTAACCCATTTGTGCAGAATACTGTCTGTTTAGAAAAAACCACCACGATTGGTCATTTTAAATCGACGACGCAGAGAAGGGCTGCTGCCTTTTCCCACATTCACAACAATAAGCAAAATGTGGCCTTAGAGTGTCAGTTGACTGGGTCGTTAGATGTGTTTCACATCGCACAGAATCCGAGTATACGCACCACGTTCAAACTACATCTCAAACACTAGTACTGCACATCCATCTTCTGTAAGTATTTCCAAAGCCAAACCATCTAAATGCGGGGCTTATATCCTCCAGTAGAGGTGCT